CGTGAAGTTGAAAAATGACTTCAGAGATGATTCATGAAGTCACCTTTCATTACACAATGATTATATATACATTAACTCTTTACCTGCATTTTGATTGCTGCGTCATACAGTATAAATTCAAATAGTGTCATTTATATGAACGAAGCCTTACATAATCTATCAAAAGCCAATTTGATGTGGATTCGGGAAATAGTAATTTAAATGCATCCAATAGGTAACTTAGTTATTTGTGTGTAAGCTTGCGTTGTACACCAACCAATAAGCTCGCACCTAACTGTTTCAACTGGAATATAACATGTTACGTTTCTCGATAGGAGTAAAACGGTACTAACGGGACGTTAATGAGTATACTATTATGCAGGATTATGCAAAAACTTTCACCACAAAATGCCATGAAGGCTAACCGCTCATCCCCCGTTATCTGTCTCTACAGACCTATAACATTAATATCATTGGGTATATTCCTATAGGTATTTGTTTCTAATGTATCGCTCATGAATATTCTGTGGTATCGCTTTATTACCATAAATAAATTTCAAGCTTCATAAAAAACGAAACCACAGAATTAAGAAATAACTCGGTTATAACATATTTTTTATTTGTCACGTTCATAAATCAGAACAAGATAAGTAATACCTACTTATCTTATATTAATAGATAGTTAAGGTACCTATAGTTACCACGTACCTAGGTATATTGAAAGTAAAGTACCCTTTTGCAGCCAATAATAATTCCCTCTTTGTTAATTGTTAAAAGTCAAATAGATAGAATGAGGCTTAAACAATATTAGCTTTTAATAGAGCACTTTTTTATTTGATAACAAAAGCAACACAATACTTTTTGACGACATCCATGGTGTGCGTGGTACTTGTATGAGTAACACCGGTTTACAGTATGTCGCCTACTCAGAGGCCACGGGCACGGTAATATTATCTATACAGTATTGTGACTCCGCCCTGTCCTTGAAAATAAATGCCTACACCGAACGCTGCGTTGGCACGCGGTAGGGCCGCCAGCCTACAGTATTTTATGTAGTTTTGTTTTTAACGCCAGTGTAGGTAGATTACTCGTTTGTCTCTTTTTTCATCCTAACCACTTATTTATATACTAGTGGCCCGCCCTCGCTTCGCTTCGGTGTAGAGCTGTAGTGTAAACAATAGTTTTTGTTCACATGGTTTGTGCTATAAAGAATGACTTTATTTATATAATTACACGTGTTATTGTGAGTCAACCATAAAAGATAGACAGACATATGCTGTTGCGGGATATTTTTTAGACAATTTTATGTAGAATATTTCCGTCATACATGATTTCTATGTAACTTTAACCATTAAGGCTGCACACGCGACGGAAGCTTAAAAAATGGAGTATCTTCTCCCGTTTTCCCAACATTTCCCTTCACTACTCTGCTGCTATTGATTGTAGCGTGATGAAAAGTATACTATAACCTGCCCAGGAGTATGAAGAATAATTGTACCAAGTTTCGTTAAAATCCGTTGAGTAGTTTTTGTTTCTATAAGGAACATACACACAGACAGACAAAAATTTTACTGATTGCATTTTTGGCATCAGTATCGACCACTAATCACCCCCTGATAGTTATTTTAAAAATATATTTCATGTACAGAATTGACATCTCTACAGATTTATTATAAGTAGATTATTCCAGATATTTTGCCCGATGGAAAAACCGAAATACCTAAATATTAGAAACAAATAACGTACTAGTAGATAGGTATATAAAAAAATTTCTATAAAGGTAAGACACCTTTCCAATATTTCAGGTAATTTAAAAAATGATATCTCTGGGTGTGTTATTGAAAAGTTCAAGCAACCAAAAACAGCAATTGTGCTGTTGTACGATATTGATCGTCGTTTGTTCTTTTCCATACTAAATTATCTAGGTATCTACTTAATTAAATCAAATATTTACAATACAAAACGCATGTTTAAGCACGGCTAACTGCATAAAAAACAATTCAAACCGTTCGGTCGTCGTTGCGGCGCGGCGGCGCATTCGCGACTGGGTGCACGCCGAGAGCACATCGAACTCGAGTGGCGTAGGTATGACTCGCTTTCCGACCGTTTGTATGAAGATAGAATACTGTATGATATTATTACCGTGCCACGGGCCTGGAATCGAATCCCTTTGAAGCAAATGTTTGTCCAAAGAATGCGAGCAAACATTTGTATGAAAAATATCTAATATATAAAATTCTCGTGTCGCGGTGTTTGTGGTTAAACTCCTCCGAAACGGCTTTCCCGATTCTCATGAAATTTTGTGTGCATATTGGGTAGGTCTGAGAATTGGACAACATCTATTTTTCATCCCCCTAAATGTTAAGGGTAATCCACCACTAATTTTTTTTTTCAATTTTAGATAACATTTTTTTTTGAATTTTTTTATGATATAGCATTAGTAAATACATATAACCCTGAATTTTCCCCCTTCTACCACCAGCCCCTATTTTTATGGCGGTACGAAGTTCGCTGGGTCAGCTAGTACTTATATATATATATATATATATCTTTGTCATATGTATTTCTATCCGTTACCCTAGTAGGTATCTAATAACACAAACCTTACAGTGCTTAATTTGGGGATAGGCTGATTGGAACGTGTTTGTTTAAATATCAAAATTTCAGTTCTGTAACTCATTCCGTTTACGATCTAGAGACCCGTGACATACGGACAGACGGACAAAAAGACAGACGACAGAGTGACAGCAATCGGGTTCCGTAGTCCTGACAAGGAACCCTTATAGTTTCGTCATGTCCTACTGTCCGTCCCCGGCTTTGCTTGGAGACTATTAGCACAAGAAAGCTGTAATTTTGTGGAGATATGTATATCGATCACGCCAATAAAATAGTAGATAAAATTTAAAAAAAAAATTTAGTGTAGCTACACGTAACCTGGGGATGATTTTTTTTCATCGTCAACCCCACCGAGTGGAATATCGAATCTACTTAGGGGTTCCTAAGACGATTTTTTCATTTAGGGATCGAAGTTACGGTTTTGAGTTAGGGTTTGCGAAGTTTGGTAACTACAGGCAACTACGGAACCCTACACTGCGCGTGGCACGATACGCACTTGGCCAGTTTTTATCCGTTGGATACGGAAGCATACAAATTAAAGTGAGCGTCAGTTGAAAAAAACTACTAAATACCACTTCTTTCATTTTCGATTTCTAATAACGGGACCACAGGAGCAATAAAGTAATGGGAAAGTTGAAGTCGTTTGTACTGGTCCAGGTTCTAAGTCGTGTCGTTAGAAACAGTTATGTTAAGCCTGAGCATGGGAGTTCCGTTATAGTCTTCCTTGTCTTAGTTTTTGCAATTGCACATCGTCCTTGGATCTTGTACTTACCTAATAAGGAAATACCATTAGCGGCAAAAGCAAGGCCAACGGTAGAAATGAGGTTACATCTGTTAACCCTTTCACAATCAAGGGAAATATTTTTCCCATTTTTAAATTTCGTAATATCTGTTAGTATTAAATTATCACCAGATATATTTATATTTTTTTAAATCTAAATCTATATATATAAAACTCAAAGGTGACTGACTGACATAGTGATCTATCAACGCACAGCCCAAACCACTGGACGGATCGGGCAGAAATTTGGAATGCAGGTAGATGTTATGACGTAGTAATTCGCTAATTTTGATCAATTCTACCCCCAAGGGTATCCCCAAGGGTAGGGTATAAATAGGGAATGAAAGTTTGTATGAAACTTTGTCAATTTTAAATCGATCGGGCTGAGACTTTGCATTCAGGTGTAAGAAGAATCATAGATGAATGTCATTGTGTATAATACAAGCCTGAGAACAAAAACTGTAGTCTACACTTCGGCTCTACACCGAAGCGAAGCGAGGGCGGGCCACTAGTATTATAATAGAACTTAACTATGTTATGTTCTAGGCGCAATCTTTGTGTTTCTTAACGATCAAAAAACCGGACAGTTCCGTACAAATTCGTAGGAAGGTTCGCAACATAAACATGGGTAAAAAAGAGATACTTACTCCAAGTATCTCTTTTTTACTCATAACTTAGAAGTTATATTATTCCACACATTCATGGGACTGTAGACCTGAGTATATGGTTTTAATTTCAACTCGATACTTCCACGTATTTCCGAGATAGTCTTGACAGACAGACAGATAAACGCCCGTATCTGTATTTAACGTTAACTTAGAAGTTTGATTTTATTTTCACAGCTTCAAGGGACCGTAGATATGAATATATGATTTAAATTACAACTCGATATCTCTACGCGTGTTCCTGAGACAAGAGTCCTTAACAGACAGACGGACGGACGGACCCGCCGGTAGTCTACGATAGTTCTTATGAAGAGATTTTTATTATGAGATGCCTTTAGCATTTCAAATAATAAGAGTAAACAAATGAATCCCATAACAAGCTCGATAGTCACTTATAATAAAAAATCGAAAACCTTGGTCCTAAAAAATTGCTTAACCACCCCAAAGTTGCTGCATTAGATAGGTGTAAACATTTTTGATGTGTAAAATCTTTCCTTTCGCTTTCCTGCAAATGTATCGCGAAAGCGCGCGCTATTTGATTTGATTTTAGAGCATAATGTTCATTTAGCTTATTCCTTTTGTAGTAGATTTTTTTTTTTACTAATATAAGGTGAGGTTTCAAATGTTTCACATCATACGCGACTACTTTAAGGCTCGCTCCTGTTTTTTTTTTGCACAAGTAAACGCATCATTCTGAGCTGAGCACACCATAGTACCATAGAAAATGGAAGATTCTGACAATAAAATTTCAAGCAGTAACTATTAGTAACTCGCTGTTACTCTCCATCTCCTTGGCAACAATTTTGTAAACATATCATTGTCATTTCTATCATATGGTGTCTAGGGGTTATTTACATCTTTATCGCAGAAAAACGGTAAAAAATAATATTTTAAACTTTTTCATATCCCACCTGTGCAATCTGCATTAAAATATGCATTTGAATAAGTTAAAAATTCTCATGATTGGACCATCAGAGGTATGTAATTTCAATGAAACAGTAACCACATTAACAACTATTTAATTTAAAAGTTTTGATTCCTTCTTTAATACGAGAAAGCTAATTATTGTAATTAAATTATGCAGAGCGGAAAAACCACCATAGCTAATTATTTATCGGAAACAATAAACATTGATGAAGCAGGGCCTCCACGACCCACCCAAGGAGTCAGAATAGTGGAATTCGAACTGCCTAACGTCATTGTGAACGGCAAAAGCAGCAATATTGATATCGAACTATGGGATTGTAGCGGTGATCATAGGTGAGTCAAAATAAAATTTGTATGAAATATTTTTTTGGTCCATTTTATTTGGTTTTTTTTTATACGAGGCGCTACAAATTTTCCCACCCCACCTGATATTAAGTGTATATGAATTCCAGCGCGAAGATAGATGATGCGGCAGAAAGAGTGTCGCTCCAGAACCCTACTCACCAACAGAAATACAACACCACCAAAAAGTAGTTTTATTTTACTGTGGTCTCATGTAAGGGTGAAGGTTGCTTCCCCAGACGGGAGCTCCAATTCGAGCGGAAAATCTGCTATGTCCTACCTCTCTTGAACGTATTGGAATAAAAAAAACCTTATTTTCTTCATGGATAATACTAATACCTTCGTGTACAAGTCAAAATATTTGTCCAACCTCCGCAGTTCGGTTTCATTTGTAACTCTATTCGTACATGGTATCTTCAGCATTATTCAGTATGCCTAATGATTTATCTAAGTATGTACTAATAGTTATACTACAGTTAAATACTTTAGATAAGACTAGTAACTTTTTAGGCAAACTGAGTTCTGTTCCTAAACTCGAGTTGAACGCATGACAAACTTTTTTGTGGCAAGGTATAGGAGGTATGTTTAAATGATTCGTTCAAAATTTATTCTCCCACTATAACTAGTGAAATTGAAAATGCTTTTGTCTGTAATAGTTCTTCTATTGGATTTCATCACATAGTATATTCGTGATTTATTTTCTCATATCCCAAAACAACCATTTTGCTAGTAAGAGTGGATGGGACACTGCAAAAATATCCTACAATTAAAAGCTTAACATGTCACTAACGAATCCCTTAACACAAAAATGTATTGACAAACCTGTGAAAAACTTATCGGACGTCCTTCACCCCATTGTTAAACGAGAAAACAAATTACACCTCCACTTTAAGCACGTATAGAGGAAGGAAGGTACCTTAGTTTATTTTTTACAAATTTTATCATGTCCTTTTTCACGGCTTGATATGTATAATGATATGATAGTATGCCAGCTGCTGGCGGAAGAACGGTAAAAGCCTAAAAAGGTTCCTTGTTGACTCCGAAAAACAATAAAGAAAAGTTCCTAAGAAATGAAAAACAATAAAAACGTTCACTACTGTTCCTACAAATTAAAGCGATCGTGCTTGTATATTTACTTACCTAATTTACAGTCAATGGAGATATAAAGCGCCATCCGGTGGCATGATACGAAATTATCTTGTGTTCTTGTAAGCTGCAGGAGAAAGACAAAGCGAAGCTTAATCAAATACTATAGAACCAGAGTAATACGTGCAGCTTTCGGTGAATTCGGGATACAAAGCGACACCAACTCCCCTAGCGGTAGTTTCTATAGTATTTGGCTTAAGATAAATATAGAAGTGTGACCAAGATTTTGTGGCGCGTGGCCAAAATTTGGAACTAATTTTGGGAAAGTATAAATAAGGCTTTTATTTATAGAGGAAGGTGTAAATAAGCCTTTATTTCCTTTTTGTCAATTTTCTCGTTTTCGTTTAAACGTTCTCTTTAGTAAGGAGATTTTACGTAATCCATAGAAAAATGTTAAAATGTCAATTTTGACATCATTGTTTGTGATAAAACTAGTTTCAGTTAAATTAATATTTAGAAAAACATCTGCCTTAGTGCCTAAGTGGGCCTTAGGCTCAACTCACACTGGCGCAGAGTCGAAGCATCGCGTCGCGTCCTTTTTTTAACTTTTCTTTTCGCGAAAATATTAATCAACTACATGAATAAACTTTAACAAAACATAATATTATCTCATTTAATATTATCAAACACTCTATATCAATCAATCAATATTATCTTGTTATGTGCAAACTTTTTATTGACTAGTAGTTACTTAATCAAACAAAATAGTAACGAAAAAGAAGACATTTGAAGAAATGCATTATGACTAGACAATAATACTTTAATAAACCTATATTGTGTTATGTGTATATGTGACTTTTTGGAAAACTTCAAGTTAAACCTGAAAATATCCTAAACTCCTAATACAAAACACCTTAAAAAGTTTAATGTCTCTGGTAATTTAATTTAACGAGTAACGTGTTATCTTATTGTAAACACCTCGTTTTCATCAAGAAACAAGTATTCTACTAGTTTTATACAAAACTTGTAGAATACTTGTTATAAACCAAACTATTGAATTATTTTTTCTAAGTATATGTGTATTGTAATTGTCTTAGTCATTGTTTTATTTACACTGTGTATCCAACAAGTATTTATACAAGTTTAAAACTCATTGATGTTTACACTTATGTCCGTAACATTGTCAAACTTGTCGCATACATCGATGGCGTTCTCACCTACAAAATACATTCGTGTTTTAGGCAAGTCTTGTTTATTTTATTGAAAGTTTTGTAGAAAACTAATTACAAACAAGTTTAAAACTTTATGCATGATTGTTGGATAAAGTTAACTTTTACCTGATGGTACAATAAAACTGAGTTATTAGAAACTAGGGAAGAAGAAAAGGAAAATGGAGTGGTCAAAAAAACGAACTTTAAATCACATTGAGTATGTGTATACAAGAATGCCTGTGGAATGTGAATCATGATCTTTATAAAGATCGCCAGTAACAAAAGACGCATTGTCAGCAATTGCTTTGTAAAGGACATAATGTTGATAAAAAAATAACAAACGTAAAGCATCAGTTTAATAGGGAAATCAATAAAATAAAAACTAAGTCAGGATGTGTTACTGATGATAATGTCTGCCTATTGTATTCTTTTAAACCGTTAAGTTTTATGAAAAGTAATAATTTACCAAAACCAGCTAGGCGCAGCGATAGTATATTTGAGCGATCTTTTTAATTTTAACATACATAGTTTTAAAATTTCGAGATGAGCAGGATTTGAACCCACCCCACGACCTCTTCGAACGCATACTACACACATGAAGTAAAATTCTGCAGCATCTTCACTTTCCATTGTCACAGCAAAATTTTTTTAGTATTTAATTAGCAGCCGCCCACGACTTCGTACTAGTAGAGTTAGTTAGAAATAAAGGTTCACTGCTCATTCCCCGTAAGTGACAACGTGATAATATGTAGCCTATATGTTGACCCGACTTCTTAATAATATTCGTGCAAAACTTGAAGTAAATCCATGCAGTACTTTTTGAGTTTATACCGGACATACCTACATAGAGACAAACAGATAAAAATTCATAAAACTATATTTTTGGCGTCGGTATCGATTGTAGATCACACCCCAAGTATTCTTTGAACTATTGCAACAGATGATTACAATGAACAGTTTTGACTTTCCTACCATTTTATTATATGTATAGATAACAAAACCTGAACTCAATTGGAGTCGTATGCTACAAGTATTCTCAAGGGTTGTATTCACAACTTTATCTGCAACATCTATAAAACATGTCATCGTATTTGTAGACAACTAGAAACGGAACTTGTCAAAAACTCATTTACCGCAACCAATAAGTTTCATACAAGTTCTGTATACCTACAACAAGTTCTAGAGTGAGAACAATAAACGAAAACATTGCATTAAACTTGACAAATACATGTATAATACCTTGGCGAAAACGAGGAGTGCTGCCTAAAAGTTGTGACAGCATCAACTTCAAACATTCAAAATTAATTGACTTGTCAGAATGGCAAATAGCATTTAATGAGTTTTTTTAATTCATTCCTACAAAGTCCAGAAAGTCCTTACCACGTTACTGCATCACGATATGAATTACGTTTAAATGTAACATTTCGTACCCACTTTTATAGACTTTGTTCACCCGATAACAAGTTAAATATTAAAAGTAGGTACCTACCACATAATTATAAATATTTACAAAATTTTGCTAGTAACGCGGTAATCTTTTTCACTTAAAATGGAAGATAAAATGTACATAAAGTGCATATTATCAATATATATATATATATATATATATATATATATATATATATATATATATATAGGATGCACGATACGATGCTCATATCCCCCACTCAACTCCCGTTCGCCTCGTCCGAACACACTTTTCGTAACGCGTAACGCATTCGCCAGCTTACCCCCCAAGTCAAGCGTGCGTAAAGAAGTTTCACTTTAGTAATATTTCATGCAATGAGTTCTCCTATCAACATAGTACACATGAGAAATAGATATTCCTACGTCAAGGATTGGCGTATTAGCGTAACCTATTATGCGTCAAGGAAAAACTACTAGTCAAATGTTGACCAATACATCAGGTATTGGTAATGCTGATGACCAATACAACATATGGCAAGTATTTTTAGTCATAGGTACTTGCCGTACTACGTAGCAGGCGATAACAGTCAATGAGAATCGAAACAAGCAGAGCCCTCTTTCCCAGTTTCCCACTTTGGGCAAGTGCCCAGGGCCCCGCAATCGATAAGGGCCTCCCTCAGATCAAATAGAAATTCCCTAGTTCCTGTCAGATCACCAAAAGATAACCAATATTTATTACCAAAAAACTTATACAATTTGAAGAAATTGAAGCTAAATTACTGACTACAATACAAACTTACTAGCTTTTACATGCGCGAAGCTATTCTACTCTCGCCAAAAAATTAGGCTTTCCGATTTCAGCATGCTTAGATAAATTTAATAGAATAATGGTGTCGACATCAGTCTCTCCTTTTCATTCTCTATAGAGAATGGCAGGGATACACTGTTGTCAAATTTAAGTTTATAGACTACAGGCCCGTGGCAAAAATTGATGGGTCATTTGAACCATCAGAAGACCTATTTAGAAAGAAAGAAGGACATTAATTAATAAGATTCAGCACTTTGCCGACACTGGTAACTGTCCAACTGAGTGCAGGTGGGATTTCATAAGTATAGATAGAGGGAGTACATTTTGGTCATATTTTTTGTACGGCATTCTTACCATCGATAGATATAAAGTTTCAATAATCGTAGTTTAATGAAATATAGCAATTTTCTACATATTATCATTGTTTTAAATATTATTCAGGTAAATAAGTAAGGAAAAAATTATGCCGTACAATTTAATGCAGACCATATATTTTGCCTAATGAAAATGACACTGCCATTGCAGGTACTTTATGGTCATCTGATACTGTACGGCATGAACATATTTTTGAACAGAACAATTAATAATATGTGTAAAGCATTATGCCGTCTATTTAAAGTGAAACAGTGGGTATATTATAACCAAAAATAGAAAACTATCAATCTCAGTATCAACAGTTTCGGACTTATACTTTTTGATGTAATACACTTTCTTGCTCCATTTCAAGTCATAATCCACATCAAAGTGTCATAGGGGCCCCATTATCCAAATATGTCCAGGGCCTCTAATAGGTTAAAGACGGCCCTGGAAACAATTGTCAAAGCTAATTTAGTATATTTTTCTAGGTATTGCATTTAAATTGACTTTTTAATACTGAAACACCGTTACCAAAGTACCTACCATGTGACAAGGTCATCATGAAAACCTCAGTTTACAGAACTAATGTTTGTTTTGTTAGTTGAGATGAACGCTGTTATCTTTTCAGATTTGAATCTTGTTGGCCTGCATTGCGAGTAGGGGTACAAGGGACCATCCTAGTCTGCTCGCCGACAACCGCCCAAGCAGCCACAAGAGAACTCGAGCTCCTTTACAACTACTTCGTATCCCAACAAAAGCTATCGGCAAAACAATGCGTTCTATTTTATAACTGTACTAATGATAATGACGATATAGAATCATTAAACTTATGTAAGTACCGACCCCAATTCAGTAGATAGATCAATGATAGATTACTATAATTTAAAAGAAAATAGTCAATGTTTTCTATAAATTCGCAACCCAGTCATTGAATGTATAAAGTTATCGTTATCTTATCAGATAATGATGTCGCACTCAAGAGTAATGAAACTGGTGTTATATAAGACGACGGGGTAAAGTTAACGAAATTCTATTTGATCTGTTAGCTAATCATCAAAAAATAATGGACATCTATTATTTTCTTTTGCCAATCAACCAAAAAATTACAAAACAAAATGTCACGTCTAAGTTTGGCTAAGTAAAAATTGTACCAAGACGTGACGTCATGCGACATTTCAAATCAAATCCAAATCAATATATCTCTTTAATGTTTTGATTATGTGAATAAAGAAAAAATACGTGTTGTATACTATTAGAAAATCTACCAGATGCCTAGACGAAGAAACTAAAATTGTCGTATTCTGGAATTTTAAATTACCCGTTTGCTCATGTAAGCTAGAGCCGATAATTTTTGAGAAAGAATGAAATTCAGTAATAAGAAACATTTCATAAAAGAGGAAAAATAATTGACAGGCGTTTGAAGGGTGTTTTCTCGCGATTTTAGAGAAAACTATAACTCGATCGAAAAAAAGATACAAAATTTTAGGTGATTAAAAGATCTAAGTACAACTTTTGTATTTACAATTGAAAATTCGGAAAATTTTCGCAGAAAATGCAAAAACGCTACTTAAATTCACTTATGTGGTTATTAATTATAGCATTATTATGCATTTGCATTTTCTATAGTTATAACTAATGTACATAATTTTTTGTATACCTACTTAGAAGGAACAGGTTCCAGCGAACCATAAGCGCACAACTTAAAAAAAACTTGACGTGATATTTTTAGATTAATAAATAAATAAATATTTCCAACACTCACACCAATTAGCCTAGCCCCAAAGTAAGCACTGTAAGGCTTGTGTTATGGGATACTAGGGTAACGGATAGAATACACATACAGTACATATATAAGTATATTTATATAGAAATACATGTGAAACATCCATGACTGGAATACAAATGCTCGTATTCATCACACAAACATCTGCTCCCACTGGGATTCGAACCCGGGACCTCTCGAGTCGGCGTCACCATGAAACCCGGCGTACAAATCACTCGGCCACGGAGGTCGTCAAAAATTGAATTAACAACTTTTATAAAAATAATGTATATCGTTTGTCGTTTTAAGATCTTTATAATATAATGTAGGTACTGCACGACAATGTCAAAAGTATAAATAAACATACCTACATCATATTTAGATTTCACTGTACCTACTATTTTGATAAGCGTGTTTCATTACGTTAACTATTTATTATAAACAATTAATTAATCTTTGAATAGAGAATATCCACAATATAAAACCTTTGAATTTTATAGATTTATAGCGAGACACAATTCCCATGATGTGACAGAGTTAGGGCTATATTGATATGTGTGAAGTTGAAATTGACGTGGACAGTATTTTTATATACACTCTCCTGTTATTATTAACAGGAGTACTTATACAAAAATACTTACATGTCGTTAAATTAATTGTATTGTTCTTTCAGCTCCAACTTTTTCAAAAGTTTCCCAAGTGGCAATCAACTTAAAGACTGGAGGTAATCGACTGAAAATAGATTTTTCAAATTACGTCGCCTCAGTTTTACAAGCAATAAATAGATAAATGTGATCTGATTTGCTCTATTATTTTTCCCTACACAATCCAAAATGAATCATATACCTGCAAAGATACTCACACAAATACTTACCTAATCATTCCAGGTGCACCTATAAACAATAAAGGGCTGAAATTCATTCATGAGGTATTTGCATTTTTCCTGGAATCATTTGTCATACAAATATCATTGTTTTTAAGGCTAAAGCTAGAACCTAAAACACAAAACACGTTTCACATCAAAATACCAACGTAATTGGAGTTTGTTGCACAAAGAAGGCAAAAATCTTTTTCCTCTTTGGATTTGAATTGGACTAGTATTGGTGATTTACTGAAACAAATATACAGAAAGGTTTAAAAATCAAGACATATTTTTTATATATAAACATAAATTTATTTTAAAATGAGTAGGTTTTTATTACCACTAGTTATTACATTTCAGCCATAAGCTGAACTTTGTTTAATGACAATGTATAATACCTAGTCAAAATAGGTTACGTTATTGCTTTTCTGAAAATAGCCGACAAGTTATCCGACATAGGCAAGATCGTTGTTACTAAACAAATTAATAAAGTCTGAGTATAGACTGTTTCCTTACCTTTCAAATATTAAGACTTATACTTTTCTATAAACATGTAGCAAATAAACTGTGATAAAGATCACGATTTTATGTACAACTTCGAACCCGGAAAAACTTAAAATCAACGTAAGTCTGCCTTCAGTCTTAAAACATTTGGCTCTTAATGAGTACTTTATAACATAATCAATAATTTTAATAAACATAATTTATAATCTTATTTTTATTTAATAAACTGACATTGAACTTTGTAAAAAATATTTACACATCAGATGATTGTACAGAACACCGCTTAACCTGATATTTCAAAATATAAATTATTATTTAGAAAAATGTGAAACTAAGATTCAATAGCTTATTTTAAATTGATCACATTTCGTAATTTATGTGGAAGTATATTATTACTACGCTAATTAATCTATGAAATAATTTAATTTTACTCCTTATGGTCTTTCCTATGTTCATAAACTAAGATTGTACCTACAAGTTAATGCCTATCGTTTTTCCAATTACCACCACCCCGATCGTTAAAATTTTTTCGATCTCTTTGACCTCTCCCACCGCCACCACGATTCCACCTCTCATTGCCGCGGCCTCGATGTCCTCCTCGGTTGGGAAACCTAGGGAAGTTTTGTTCTCCGTCCATGAAGTTAAAATCACTCATAGAACCTGGTCCATTGAATGGCATGTTACCAAAACTATTAGGACCACCAAATTTCCCGTTATTGAAATTATGCGGTATATTTGGTGCTATACCTAACAATCCCGGCGTGGGTCCTCCTCTAGGATCCGGTATTGATTGATTGAAGCCAGCCATCGGGCCGACGTTCATATTATTCATACCACCCATGTTCATCGGTGGCATGTTCATTAAATTAATATTGTTTCCATCCATAGGACCCGTGTTCATCTGCATATTGCTATTCATAGTAAATGGATTGGTATTTTGATTATAATTAACAGGTGTTTTTAACAATGCTTCCTTTGGTTTCGGCAAATAAGAGAATTCACCGTTTTCGTCTAAAGACACTCCTAAATTCGAAAATATATTACACAAAACATTATTATTCTGTATACCTGTTAAATCGATTTTTTTCCCAAGTAATTTTTCCTGTTGATATTGTTTAATCATTTGTGTAACTGGTGCTAAATTCTGATTTACATATATTTTTTGTGTGGAGCTAAGATCTTTATACCAATTAGAATTTTGTAAGACATTTTGCAAGTCTAAGACATTAGGTTTTGTTTCTTGTGTCATAATACTGTCACCAGGATTAATTGTTGGTTTTCGCCGAGGGTCTACCCGAGGCGCAGCTGGCACGACAGGTTTGTTTGATTTCTCACTATCACTATTTGATTCATCTAATGACAATCTAAACACTTTTCTTAGTCTAGGATCTACTAACGCTTGGGACTTGGCTGTACTATTCCTTATATCTGTATAATCTGGTCGCGGTATATCTATAGGTACCAGTTTATATGTAATAGGAGGATGACTATTTATAGATCCATTTATTTCCGACGCAGGGGTGTAATTCGGTATTGGTTTAAAAGGTAAGCTTAATCGAAAATCAATGTCTCCACTAGTCCCTTGCCTTAAATCAGTATCACCGAAGGATGGTAATGTAAAATCTGTTTGTCGTAAATCTACATCAGTTCTTCTACGACCATCAGTAGGTTCACCGTCAACACACTCGTAAATTGATATACGAGCAGGCTTATTACTGGTTTTCTTATTTAATTCACTAACCTTATCTGGAGACTTCCTTGATCGTGGATCTCTTGATTTTGGAGAAGTTGTTGTTTCGTTGTTAATTTCAGTTTTAGTTTCATGTAAATTATTCTTCATGGTGTTTAGTAATTTAGTTACTTCTTCGCTTATATCTATTTTAGAGAGATCACCGAGTCTACTTAAAACAGTTGAAGGTTCTATAACATGAGGTGCAGGAGTTTGTGGTGACAAAGAAGCAGGTCGAGGCGACGCAACAGGAGACTTCTTTTTTATTCCTTTCTCTTCGTCACTCGAATACCATTTTTCATCAATTAATAGGTTGTCTTCGTCGTCAGTAGTTGAACGTCGATGTCGTTTTTCCGGATTTTTAAATATAGGTTCAGGTTGTAGAAACCTAATATCAGTGTCACATTCTTTTTTAATAGTGTCATTTACTATCGTAGATTGAGTTATTCTAGGGGCATCATCTGAAAATGGTATAACTCGGTGATCTACATCTTTTGTTTCGATAGTGAGAATAGTTTTTTCATTATCAAACGTTTCATTCGAAATATCTATATTCTCTTTATCTTTAGATGCAAATTTCAAAGCGTCTTTCGTATATTGATCTATATCTATCATATCTCTTGATTGTATATCTTTTCTCGTGCTGTTTGTGATTGCGTCATCTACTGCTGGCAGAGTCACTGATGGCTGAAAGCGCATATCAACATCTTTTCCAGGGAAATCGGAAGCCAATGCAACATTATTACTGACAGGAACGACAGGTGGAACTCTCAAATCTAAGTCTTGTGTTGAACTGGTAGTAGACCCCATAAAGGATTGTGGCGGTTGTTCAGGATTATTATTAATCAAACCCAACTTTTGTATACTCATTGTATTCAACTGTATTTCGGTAATTTGTTTTATAGATATTCCAATACTGTTTAATTGCAATACTGTGAGCTGGCCTAGCTGATCCAAGTTTTCAATACCCATTTTAGTAAGATCTGAAATCTGCCGAGGAGTGAGAACTCCAGTTAAATTTTTTATATTTAGAACATTGGCTGTATTCATAGTGTTGCCTTGTGATTGTGAAATACTATTAGAATTTAAATTATCATTTTGCCATCTTGACTGCCGTACTTTTGGCGATACCTTCATCGATTTATCAAAATTATTTTGTGGTGGCGACTCATTTATCATTTGAGGATTAGGAATATTTAGATCAAAAAGGGAAGGTATATTTTTATCTTCTCTCTCGTGACTATCAGAAAATTGTTGCATTAATTTCAGTTGCGTTGTTTGGATCATTTGTAAAGCACCTTCCCGATGCAATCTAGGAAAATCACCCAATATCTCCTTGGGTGCCGATTCAATGTGTTTTAAGAGAATATTTTTTAAATTTTCTGTCAGTGGTTTTCCATGTGCAAATTTACACTCATCTTTATAAACACAAGGAAGCCCGGTATGATAATATTTACAAGGAAAATCAGCATGCATATAAAGACATTTGTCCCGTTTTGCACAACAGTCCATAAGGTAAAATTTACATAATTCCATTTTACGGGGGGGTTGTGCATCGTGAGAATAAATACAATCGTCACCTTTATGGCATTTACCTTGCATATAATATAAACAAAGCCCATCAGGGTCTTGCATTGGATGTGCTCCTCTCCTCCGGTCATTTTTATTTTTATTTCGTTCTCTCTGTGGCTGTCTATGTCTCTGAGGACGATGATGTTGTGGTCCTCGAGATTCTTGACTACTATCAGATGCAAAAGAGTCGTTGTCATCTTCTTCAAATGTGTCTATGGGTTTTTGGATAGGTGATGCTCCTCTAATGCACATCATCTCACTCTCGTCCATTTCTTCATTGAACTCATGTTGCTTTTTACGTTTTTTGTGAGGACCATCTTTACTTTCATTTTTCTTCCGTTTTTTATGTTTACGACGTTCTTCAACTTCATCGTCTGGAAACGTTTCCCCATCATCGCTCTTATTCATAGCTTTTCTAATAGCTTTTTCGATGTTACCTGCAAAATCATCCTCTGTAGGAATAGCATACTTACGACTTTTCTTGCTTTTGTCTTTCGACTTTTGATCTCCTTTTGATTTCGATTTCTTTTTCTTACCCGACTTTGAGTAGTGAATCTCTTGTGGTTCTTCTTTCTCTACATCAGGTTTTTCTTCCTCGGGTGGAATATTTTCTTCTCGTTTAACTATATTCTGAAGATTACTAGCATCTTCTCCTTCGCTTTCAATTTCTCCGTCTTCTAAATCTTCAATGTCAGCTGTTGCACTCGCCATTATGAAGGGATCACTGAAATTCATATTTGTTAAAATTAGTATTAAGGAAGTAACGCCTTTATTGTTTTTATAAAGAGGAAGAGTTAAATTAATAATAAAACAGATTAAAAATATATAGGTATATAGGGTAGCTCAGTTTTATATTTTTATCAGCGTATTTTCGGCTCTCATTTGTACGCCCATCTTGAGAAGCAAGTTCTACTGCACAGAAGTATAAACCCGAACAGAACTTTTATTTAGTGTTGTTTACCTGCAGTAAAGTTTCCACATATCTACATGGTAGATGTGTGGTATAGCTTACGCTCGAGTAACAGGTATAAACTGATATCGCATGCGTCTATAGGCTATGAGGAGGCCACTTACCATCAGGCGACACATGGGCCCCCGATTATCAACAGCACCGTTTTTACATAAAAAAATAACACAATAGTACGTATTTCATTGAAAGGTAACCCTCAAAACCCCATTACAACTATTCAATACATACATACAGCGGCCATCAAAAGATCTTCTTTTTACAAATAAAAAGAAAAAAGATTGCAATTGTTTTAAATAATGATACCAAAAAATTACAATACCATTTATTTACGATATAACAGTATCTTAATATCTTTGTTATAGCATAACAACATTTTCAGTAAAGCATTAATTGGGATTACGCGAACGTTTATTAAACATTTAATTATGAATTCCAAGCAAAAATCTGTTTTAGTAATTACACCTACGTACTCTATTAGGTATATATTTAATAATTTAACTGCTACAGTTTATATTTAGCACTTGCCCTACAGCTACAGATACAGCAAAGGAGGCTACATCGAGTCCAGACTGGTAATTATTAACATAAGTTGAAATTTTCTTAGTAAAATTATATTATTTAGAGTTAGATTTTTGATGGCCAGCATATTTGGGAGTTTACATTACATACTAGACATTAACTAAAAGTAAAAGTTATTTCATAAAGCTATTAGAAAAGAAGCTATGAACCTGTTCAATATAAATTCATTTCACTCATTTATATATCAGTAAAATTTAAAAATATAAGCTATATTTAAATTTACTAATATTTAAATAATAAAATTAAGTTGGCAGAAAAAAACAAGTTTTGATAATCCTAGAAATATTATTATTATGAACGTAATTATAAAGGATGGTACCTGTCTGCCTACTATTTCAAATAATGTGATATTACTTGCGTTAAAACAACTAACAGTTATTATTTTGCAAGTATTGCTTTTCTCAAAGTTAATATTCGTAGGTAACTATCCGGCGATAACGATAATAAATTGAAAGATCTGTATTTTGGGTAGCCGACCCAATATCTGTGTATTTAAAAAAGTACAACGATCAAAACTTTGTTAATCGACAATTTTGTAGCAAAGCCCCATTGATTATAATTATCATAGTGTTACTTGCAGGCCTTTGTTGTTCTTCATACTGTGACAAATACATAAAAAGTAATTTAACTTATTATTCAATTAGAATTGCTTTACAACTCATTATATTTAGTTGCACTTAAAATTATGATTCAAATAAAAATCTAATCACTTGGTAATAATAACTAAAAACATAGGCGTCATAACATACAACAAAGAAAAATAAAGGCGTCGCCATATTTGCGTTACGACTATAATCCGACCGATTTAAATGGTCTGACAAATACCTTTGAAAAGCAATTCATAAAAACACTGATATGAACAAAACAACTTTCTTCGGTGTTTTTAAAGAGTAATACAAATAAAAAATAAGGTCATGTATTTTAATTTGAGGAAATTGGAGTATTTATACTTATACAGTCCTTGTATTGAATAACTGAATAGAAAACTCACACAGGCACACAAAATGACACACATGTATGTACATTCCATTTAATGACCTAAGAATAACCTTTGTTTAACTATTATGGTTATTTTGCAAAAGTATAATTGATAAAAATTGAGTTTACTGAATGCAATAGATAATGTTTAGTACCTATGTACCTATATTTGTAATGTTAAACTTTAATTACACGTCTTGAGCAAGATTTTGTTCTCATAATACTGTACCTAATAATCGATGGAACAATAATCATTGAAAATCAGTAGATAGATCTCCGTATTTCACAAAATTACTAAATATTGCGTAGTTATAAAATCGACATGTATGGCGGAAGTCAGTGGAATAACTGTTCATAGCCACAACTTTCAAATGAATTAGGTTTAGAGAGCCAAGCAAGGCAAGCAGTGGGTGGACGTTCACATTACACAATGTCTTGCTGTGTGCTGCGCTCTAGCTAGCCACCAGCCACGATTTAAATGACGTCAGCCTTCTAGAATGGCGATATCTATGTGTTCAACCTCACAGATACGATTTCCAACAGCTCATCGAGGTCACGCTATGTATAAATACGCTCACTCACACTATTACACCGCGCATAGTACAAAATGACGTAAGCGAATGACGAGGCCTTGACCATTTTATTTAGTAGCATTATAACGTCAACTGAATGTACAAATCTACCAACAAAATTTAAGACAATACCTACCTAGTCAATACCGACAATATACCTATACATATTTTGGGAAAACTATAAATATTAAAAATTACTTATCATGAAAGACTACCTGCTACCGAATAAAGAAATTATAAATACATAACCAACACCAAAATCTTTTTAAATTCAAGAGACTACACAAAATTTATCAAACCTATCTAAATAGGAATTTAACATGCACATCAATATGTAATTTGGTTTAAAAATTAGCTTAAATTATATAAATAAATAGAGCCTAGCGTAGTATAATTTAGAGATTACAAACAAGTAGAAAATGATCCGCCATTTTGAGTATTCCTCGCAATGACCTTTCGTAAAGCAACCATACCATATAAACCTAAATATTTTTAAATTACGTTTTATGAACTCAGCACGTAATATCGATAAATAACAATTAGGTTATTAAGTGTAACGAAAATATAGCACGTGTGTGATAATCTCCTCGTAGCTGCTCAAGCACTTTATATAAAAAGGGGACACGCATTTTGTAATGGCCTATTAAGTAAATAATATTAAGTGTTACCAATCTTACATTAATGAACGATTCACTATGTGCGACTACTATAACGCCATGTAAAAGTTGGAATCTTTCATAGCATTGCTGCATAAGATAAGACGTAACAAATCGAGTACGCAATATTGATTAAGGACGACGACTGCGGCGAAAGATTCCAGTGTTCTTTGGGACGGAAGAGGAAGTCAATTCACATTAGTTCCAATTTCAGACACAATAAAGCGCCACTGACGTGCAGTAAGGCCACCTTTCAATTTGTGCATCACTTCCTACATAATTAAAGTCCTATTAATCGCAAAAATACTTGAATAAATAAAATCAAATGTTTGTTAAACTATTATTATTTATCATGAAAACTTTATAAACCTGTTTATTTTATTTTAAATTGTTTAATGCTTTAATTAGAAGCTATGTGACTTCTGTTATTCTCTTATTGGTAGTTGGTTTGGTTGGTACTTCTAGGCTGAGTTGCCATTTTTAATAACCTAAAATTAATACCATAAAATTAATTATAAAACACATCACCCAAAAGTTCATTTTTAAAAGTCAAGTTTGAAATTGTAAAACTGGGTAAAATTGCAAGTTATCATAGTACCTATAATTTCAAATAACGAAGAAATACAAACAATTTGCTGTCAAAGAGAACTGCTCTTTGTCTGTAAATTGAAATACAAGACAAGACGTCACACACACTGACTTTGGTTCTAGGGCTGCCAGCTATACTGTTAAAATTATTATTAAACTGTTTTACTACACGTTGAGCGTTTTCCATTTATAAAAAAAAGTCGACACTGTGTTGCACTGTGTCGACGATACTATCGCAAAAACCTAATGCCAACTAAAGCTTGGTAACTTCAATACTTTTCATTGGTAACATTGTTACGTAAGTGAATAACAGTGTTACCAATGAAAAGTATTGAAGTTACCAAGCTTTAGTTGGCATTAGGTTTTTGCTATTGTATCGTCGACACAGTGCAACACAGTGTCGACTTTTTTTTCTAAATGGAAAACGCTCATTACTTTTTACTGCTGAATAAAAAAAAGTATAGGTAGCGGCAAACTTTTTGTAACCAGTGCCGGATTAGCCCATAAGCAAATTAACTATTTGCACATAAAAAATATTGTTTAGAGCATTAAGTCATTTTCACAATTAGTTTTGACTGTGGCGAGGTCTATGATGCTTTTAAAATTGCTACTGCGCACGCTTCCTTGTCATTGCTCTATGGTCATTGCTCAAGAAGTTTGCTGAGGTATATATACAAAATACTGTTTAGAGCATTAAGTCGTTTTCATCATTAGTTCTGACTGTGGTGAGGCCTATGAAGCTTATAAAATGTAGTTTTACCTTTAAAACTTATCGCCTTAGTATCCTGTCCCATAAACAGGGCCGTCTTTAACATATTGAAAGCCCTGGGAATATTAGGATAATGGGGCTAGTATGACTTCGATGTGGATTATGACTTGAAATGGAGAGAGTCATATTGATGAGTGTACTACTGATGATTTTTCTTTATACTTATATACCTCTTCTTCTTCGTCCTTGCTCCTTCCCACTTTATATGGGGTCGGCTCGCCTAATTTTAAGGCGCCAAAACTCTCTATCTAGGGTTGTCAGTTCGGGTAATTTTTCAGCTGTCATTAGCTACATCATGCAAAAAAGATGGCAACCCTGAAACGGTGACTGTCATATCCCGCTGTAATCTGTCTGTGGGGTTTTTTTTTTGGCGGGATTTCATCGAGTGCGGTTGGCGTCTTATTTTAATTATTCTTAAATTCGTTCATAGTGGATATTGTGAAATAAAATTGGTGTGGTTTTGTGTAACAACTGTCTGCGTAACTGAAGAATTAGTGGAATCATTAAAATATACGCTATTGCGGTCAAGTGGACGTGAGAATTTTATTGTAGTGTTGACTACCTCACAGAAGCTTATCGAAAAAGCCAACTCGATACATTTCGTGCCAAACACTCCAAGAAACATTAGAATGCGTCACACCGACATTCTAATGTAAAAACAAAAAGAAGATTAATTTAATTAAAGACCAGGCTGTATGGGCATTGTTCCCTTTGCCTTCCCTAAAACGGGAGAACTTCAACAAAAAAAAAAATCTGTGGTAATAAATCACCAGTAGCAGTTTTGTAAAGTCAGCATCTTTTGCACAAAGTACAATTTTTGAAAATCATTTCCGAGTGTACTAAAAGTAAAGGCTTTATTGTAGATAATATTCTAGAACGAATAATGTGATACTTTCACTAGTTATTTCTAATTTTCAAAGTTTGTTTCCCACAATGTCTGAACCAAATAATCCATTCGCTGGCTTGATAGGCGTATCAGAAGTTGAATCAACAAATAATGAAGCTAATACAGGTCTGCATATCAGTTCGAAAAGTACACAAGAAGTCGAAGAAATTCAATCAATAAATAACATTGTTGAAAACGTTTTCCACTTCACCATCAACCCTAATGCAGCTGATACTTGTGCAAGCTCTGACAAACAACTAGTGTATTTAGAAGAATTGGCAGAAGCAACTAAACCACATATATATATTGATTTGGAAGCTTTAGAACAAGCACTCTTTGAAAGGTTACTTTTGCCAGAGATTGAATCTTATGTCATTCCAAAGACATGTAAACAATTCAAGGAGCATGTGATACAAAAACAGGTTTTCCCTTATTTATTCAGTTCCGTACAAAATCTTCAAACTTATCACCAAGTGAATAAAAGTTATATCAAAAACACCATACAGAAAATGAGAGAACTGATATTTAGAAATGCTGTTACTGCTTTGAAACAACCTGCTTTGTTTGAAGGTCAAAACTTTTCAATGCAACTGATAGAGCTATTACAGCATGTTGACCCACAGAGTCACACATTTTTTGTAGAAATTGTGGATGCATTTGTCAAAGATGGTAAGAAGTCCTGATATTTAGGTATTTAAATAAATAAAAAAATTTGATATAATGTTTAAATTTTATTTTTATGGAATTGTTATTAGTATTTATTTATTGTATTGTACTGTGATTATTACTATTAATAAACTTTGTTAAATTGATGTTCATGGTGGTGGGAGCCGAATGACCTTGTAACACAGCTATATCTTACCTAAAGCGGACATCAGTTTTACACAAACATTAATGTAATTGACTATTTAAAAACTGTTATTGTTTCCAAAATGTTTGTGATGAGAAATAAACGATTTTTTATTATTATTATTATTGTAATGTCATAAAGCAATGAAATTTATAGTTTCAGCTGATGAAAATGTACAAAACCAACTGAAAGAAACAATGATTCCTGTGCTCAAAATAATTCATACAGATGTAAACAAATCAAATCTCATCAACCTGCCTATTTATGTTTTACCGTCAATTCAGATATTTGCAGGTGAGTCAGCTGTTTATATCAATAAATAGAAAAGTTTCAAATAAAGTTCTTATAAAGGTGCCTGGAATAGTTTTAGGAAGTATGATATAACTACACAACAACATTTCCATATTTCCTTAGGTAATGCACATTTGGCTCCAATCTTAATGGATGCCTGTGAACCATATATTCAGACAAATGGACGTCTATATCAAGATTCACTACTTGGTGCTCTGTTAAGTTTATCAGTTCTACCTAGGACTGCTACTTCTCTCCACGAGTTTTTTGACAACCCTATGGACCAGGTAATGTAACTTCAATCAATATTATGCTACTGAAATATTCTCAAATAATAAATTATAATACAGAATATTAATAACATTTCAGGCTGCAACTTCTATGATGGAGTCGTCTTTATGGAATGCATCTTCTCATTTAACAAATAATTTGCACAGAATCTTCCTTACTTTATTAAAAGCAGGTCCTCAAATGAGAAATCGACTTTTGACATGGATTGGGAAATGTCTCAAAACAAATGTTGCTAGAGGGAAACTTTGGAATGTTCAAGTAGGCATAATAAATTGAATTAAAAATGAATAAAAAAAATACTTTCATAAAATTTACCTTATATTTGTTTTCAGTTATTTACCAAAAACTTCACATAATAAAAATGATTTGTTTATTAGTAGATATAATATGCAGTAAATCCAGAAATTATAGTATATATATAAACTAGTGTTGATTTTTCCTACCTTATTTGTTCATACAAATCTTGTCTGCATAATAATGTCTTTTTGTGTATATTATTCCTTCGTACATGAGGCAACAGGGTTTTATTTTATTAATTACAGGCTGGTGAAGTTAGTGCTGCTACATTAAGTTGTGTGTCTGATGGATTCATGTTAAATCTTGGGGCAGTATTATTACATTTGTGTCAACCATTCTGCACAACATCTAATGACCAGAAAGCATTGAAAATTGATCCTACTTATGGGTCTGTATTAGTAAGTTCAAAATATCTACCTCTATATTTTGTACTCTTCCAATTTCATTAATAATTGAAAAAAAGTTGTATTTGCTCGTGATATTTTTCTTTGTAAGCATATTAACTCTTATTGCCTTTTAATACAATGTGTAGGTTCAGTAAGTAACATTGAACAGTAGTGCTCATGCCTTCTGCTTTAAAGGTCTGGGACTTAAATCCCAGTACAGAAATATCTATTCTTCAATCACAGAATGCCCCGTTCTATGAGCACATACTATCATCATAATATGATCATTCTTTAATCACAGATGTCAATGTGTATGTTTTAAAGTTTTCACAATCACACAGGCACTTATTTCGGAACTTAAATTGTTTTATGAGGTGTGTGAAATTGCAGTTTTATTGTTGCCAACCTATAACCTGTTTCCTTAATATATTTTTTTGTCAATTATAAATAACAAGTGGTGGTACCTACTAATAGACAAACAGTAAATTCTTTATAGCCTGAAGAATGTGCAGCTAAGTCCGTGCATTTGGACTGTCTTCACAGTGAAACATGCTTATTGCCAGCACTGGATGGGGAAGACGGTCAGACAATAAAGAGACCCACTGCTGAAATGTACAATTTTGTTACAGAATGCTTTTTTATGACACAAAAGTGCATAGATTTAGGTAAGTTGCAAGTACATATTATAACATATATCAGCTTTTTCCTAATAGTGGACTGCCATGCGGCACTAAGTCAAGAAAATTAAGTTGGGAGTATCAATAATATGCTCCATCAAATGCAATATTTTTACACACATAGGAAAATAAACAATCAAGATTAAATAGACACTTTCACTTTCACGTTGAATCTATTATTCTTTTTCAGGTGTAAGAGTATGTGCAGAAAAATTATGGCGATGTGGTCAAGACTTGGCCCGGGCGCAACGAGCACTAGCAGACGTTGCAGCAAGTGCTCATCATCTACTGGAACCGATGAGGCAAAGGACACACCATCTTATGACTAGGTTTGTAATGAACTATTAAAAACATTTAAATATATTTTTTTTATTTATTGACTGCATCCATAGTCTGTAGTTCGGCATCAGAACCGCGATATGATATGATAAAATTTTTATTAAAAGCATTTAACCCACAAATTCTCTTCTAGTTTGACTGTCAATGTCGATAAATCCCTTTATCAGTTTTTTCTGTAGAAGCGCTATTAGGGCTGATGTAGATGAACTATTTACTTCAGTATTATATGCGGCCTAATTGTGAAATTATTCTCTTAACTTTAAAGCTGCAACAGCAGTCTCACCTTTATTCTCTTAGTACTATTGTTTGTTTCTATTGTCATTATAATATAAATGGAAGTAATAGAGTGGGGATAACAGATAACTGTTTAAAACATATATAATTTATGTATAATAATTTCAAAATTATTGCATTTTCATTTCCCACCACAGATTCTTTAGTCTCCGGTGTGCGCTACTTGAGAATGACATGCTTACAAATCTAAATCGTTTGCAAGCTGCCACTTGCACATGGCTAGTGCAAGTAGCAATAAGACCCAACACTTCAGAACCTCAAGCGAGTTACGCGCCTACTACAGCCATGCCAATAGAAATGCCAATTACGACACCACCGCCGGATACCCTCAGGTAAAAAAAAAATATATATAAATGAATCCCTATTTCCCTTGTTTACGCCTTAACTTGAGATTTTTTTAAGTTTTCTAATAATTGTTGAAGCTTAGCTTACCTTGTAGCTGGTGCTGAAGTTGTGTTTTAGAATGTTTCATATTTTTATTGGGCAAAATAATGTTTGTCAGGAATTGCTAATCAAATAATTAATCGAGATAAGAAATGACAGCATTATAATTTAAAATTAGTTTAACCTTTTGTGACTATTAAGACAACCAACATCTCAGTCTTGGCATCACGTCCAGAAACGGTTCCGAGACTCATAAGAGGATCATGTTTAGAATTGCAGTATAACTCTTTAAGAGTGATTTATCAGATCAAATCTTATATTAAATCTTTGGTGTTCTCTGCGGAAATAGAAGAAACAAGTGTTTAAATTCAACAGATGTATCCCGGAATTCGTATTAGAGAACATCGTAGTTTTGATCACTATGGCGCGACGGACGGTGGGAGCTATCACAGAGGAAGCTGATATAGCTGGCCTTTTGCATCCGGCGCTTACACTAGTACTCACCTTTATGGGAGATTCTTCGCGCACATACAACCCACATCTCAGGTAACAAACTCAACTTTACAATTATTCAACGGCCATAATAAAGTTACAAAGGTAGTAATTTCAATAAATAGTATACTTTATGGACTCTGTAAGGAATCGCAATTTTAAACAGGAGAAATTCATTGTCTATAAATGTTCCCACTGCTGGAACCTGCCGTATGGATGGCAGAGGGAGACTGTGTCATAACACTACGCGAAATAATTTTTTTTTTTTATTATTTTTAAAGCATGTAACTGCTTGATGTTTAAATCTAAAGAAAATATAACTAGAAAAAATTACTTATTATAACTATAATTGCTATTTCTTCTTTCAAATGTTTAATACTTGTAAAAGTATTCATTTGACATTGTGGGTTTACCTATAATGCGAAGAGATGGCGCTGCCTTGCAGCTTAAGAATAGCTAGAAGGAATTTCGACGCGGTCCGTGAGGGCCGCGGTAGCATAATTGGTCAGTGCATTCGCCCGGATTGCGAAGGGTGCGGGTTCGAGTCCCGTCTGCTGCCTGGTCCGCGTGGAATTTTTTCTAGTTATATTTTCTTTAGATTTAAACTACGCGAAATGCCCGATGCTTATTGAATGGGTGCTAACGACTGCAGAAGTAACCGGGACCAACCAACACCGCCTCGGCGCGCGTGTTATACTATTAAACATCGAGATGGCCTTTGAAATCCGTCGTATATATATTGAGCACTGCATATTGGTTGATTCAGTGATGTTATTGCTGCTTCAATACTCATACTTGATTTTGAGAGGTTTTTGTAATGTAGTTTTTATTAAAAATACTATGAAAATCTATTGTTAACACTAAATTACATAATTTAGCAGAATATTTCATAACCTAAATTACGGGTAGTCAGCAAAATATTTGTGCGTGTTCTGAACGGCCCAATGACATCAGTTGGTTGTCGCCTCCTTCAAAACGCGCGGTTGATATTCTTTGTATGGATTTCTACGGGGATGCGCTCACTACACCTACTCCGTACCTTTGCCGCATGGTGGACGAGACGGCGGTGTTGGTCGGGTGCCAGGTGGGTCAAGTGCGCTGTGACCTTTAACATGCCTTCCGAAGTACGGAGTTCAAGATAATTTTGTATAAACAACGTGGACCTTATTGTGTTGTGTTTTTTAACTTGATGGCACATTACAGACAATCAATGCTTTTCATGTATCTAAAGGCGCAATTACACTTGGTTGTTATCCCGTATTTGGGTGCACGAAAGACATAACTCGATTTCGGGCACCCAATGCAAAAATTACATTGTTTTACTCACGTTCGGATATGTACGGAACACGGCCAAACGACCCTGCACCCGCGTTCTAGTTTGAACATACCTCAGTGATGCTATGTTGGGGGACCAAATCGAATACGCGCATAGACGACTTTTTAGATTTACACTTAATCGTTTGTCGGAATTCCACGGGCAATCGTATTCGGGCTAGCGACCAAGTATAATTAAGCGCCCTAATGTAAATTCATTTTCGTCAAATACAGTAGAACCCGTTTAATACGATTTCTCGTATAATACGCCATTTTTCGTCAGTCCCTGCAACTTGAGACATGTTTTCATACTTTTCTTAACGCCAGAGATGTGACATTTTTAAAATAAAAGTATTTGAAATGCAAAATACAAAATGGAAAATACCTATTTCCATTTTGTATTTAAATCCTTTTTTTTTAAAAGCATTTTATATTTTATTTGAAATACCTTTTAGGACATATTTTCTATTTGCAAAATGCAAAATCCTTTTTGCTAAGTTTTGTAAACACCGAAGAATTAATAATTAATGTGTTACAAATACAATCTTCAATTACAATCTTGTTACGGTAAACTATGTAACTTGGTTTGATCAGCTTCGTTTATTATCGACCCTTTTCGCATAAATTCGGGATTATTTGGTCATCTTACCGTGCGGTGAGATTTCGTTCCAGTGCCGCCATTTTAGCGTTTTGCGCGCTAGATCTAGCGCTTTTGTGGTGTGGTTAGCGCCTATTTCAAAATTTTAGCGCCTAGCGGATAATCTGGCGCTTTTTCATTTATGTCATTATTGCACTCTATTACCGATAATTTATGGCCTCGGCAAACCCCTCTATTATTTTTTTATATCAGAACTATACTTCTCTGTCGTTTTATGTTGTGACACGTCAGAGAGATCACGGTTTCATATATTTAGAATTATACTTGTAGTACAGTCAATCTGTAGGTTGAGTGGTGAAAAAAAAACCTAAAGGGTAAGTCTTGTTTTTTCTGTTGTCAAATGACGTCAGTAAGCCACCTTGGCGATGGGCATGTTCAACTCGTAGGCGTTTTTTGAAAAACTCAAAAAACCCCTCAAAAATTTTTTGAAACGCATTTTTCTTGTTTAGTATGCATTTTAGAAACTTTTTTTTCGACCATAATTGTAGAGGGCGTTGAGTACTAAATGTCATTGTTGCAATCACGTACAACAAAAAATGCGCATTGTAGGTGGCGCTAAAGTCCCAAAAAAGTATTTTTTCACTTTATCACCCTGAAAATATCATTTTAATGGAAAACTTTAAATGGAAAAGTTGTTCCGTACATAATTACCAACAACTTTTGTATAAACATTTTTTTAAATTACTTACAGTTTTCAAGTTACAGTGCAATACAGCGCTACGTATACAACACAATGCTACTAACGGTAATTTTTTCGGTCCTATGGAGACTTTCTCGACTCTTTTTTTTTCTTTTGTTTTTCTTTTTTTTCTTGTCTTTTTTTCTTTCTTTCTCTTTGATTTATTTGCTATAACGATTACAATTGTTTATAAAAACATGTTGTATTAAAATCATATTCTTGGAGTTAAACTTTATTATTAAACTTTGAAGCGATTATCATGTATTAATTCAAGTTGCACATCTGTTTTTTTTCCAAATGTTGCTCGGACGCATTAACAGCAGGCAATAAGTTAATAACAATTTAGAATTTTTATCTCATATGTTCGACAAAATAATCATTTTTCTATCAACTACTTTTGTTCCTGCAATTAATTCATGCAAGAAAATGAATCCAAAGCTCTAATTGTCGATATTTCATGTCAATAACAAATCAAAATTCTTACAATATTGAAAAAAAATGAAAAATAGTACCTAAAACGTACATTGAAATGTGCACTGTAAATGTGTACTTGAACTGCCCAAAACCGCTCTATTGGATTTTTCATACCTGCGCAATTTATAACTTGAGAACGGTAAGTAATACAAAAAAAATGTTTATACAAAAGTTGTTGGTAATTATGTACGGAACAACTTTTCGATTTAAAGTTTTCCATTAAAATGATATTTTCAGGGTGAAAAAGTGAATAAACACTTTTTTGAGACTTTAGCGCCACCTACAATGCGCATTTTTTTTTTTGTATGAGATTGCAACAATGACATAAATTGTAGTACTCAACGCCCTCTACAATAATGGTCGAAAAAAAAGTTTCTAAAATGCATACAAAACAGGAAAAATGCGTTTCAAAAAATTTTTGAGTGTTTTTTTGAGTTTTTCAAAAAACGCCTACGAGTTGAACATGCCCATCGCCAAGGTGGCTTACTGACGTCATTTGGCAACAGAAAAAACAAGATTTACCTTTAGGTTTTTTTTTTCACTGAAACGATTTTTTTTTTTCGACAGATTGACTGTACTATTGTGTGTCGCGATGTATCGACACCGTTCTCACTCTAACCGTACTACTGAATGTATGAAACCGATTTAACTGTGTGATGCGTCACAGTGTATTTGAGCAAATTATTTTATTAAAATTTGTTATGTAAATTTAATTTAAGTAAGCTATCAAAGTAAATTTACCAGCCTGTTAGCTGGTTAATATAAATAAACTTTTCAACAAAATAAAGATAATTTTAAATTAAAGTATTTTATTTTAATAAAGAATGTTGTAAATACGTATTTTGCATTTAGTATTTTAAATATAAAATGAAAAACTAATGATATATAAAATAAATAATGATCAAAGAGAAGATGAGTCAACTCCGATTTTGTCACACGCCCAGGCATTATCGGCAGTTAATGATTTAAGACATAGCGTCTAGCGTCACTTCTTTGAATCAAAATTGAAAATCTTGTAATTGCTAATGCCTCAAAATCTTTTTTGTCAAACTAAAATAAGTGATTAATTTGATTAACGTAATAATAATACACTATTTTTTTAAAACCGTACATAATTCTTAAATATTGTACATTTAATACCTCAATATTTACATTCGAAATTTCCCTATCCCGCATAATACACTTTCCCGCTTAAGACGCGTTTTTGGTTGAGACCCTGTGAAATCGTCTTAAACAGGTTTTACTGTATAACATTCTAAGCTCAACTCTATGTTGTTGATGTTTAAGATAATGCTGTAGCCCGAATATAATAACTGTAATTAAATTTAGTTATTTAATAACGTCATTATAATATGTATAAATATGGGATGCATAAAATATTTCAGAGCTCGCCTGGCAGAATGTTTAGAGGCTATGTTACCAAACCACCCAGAGGATCAACAGCCACTCAGCAATTTAGCATCATTCTATAGAGAACAATTATTCAAAGAACATCCACATCGATTACAGGCAAGTGGTAATAGGGTATTTAACAAGTTATCGAAAACGACCTCACATTATTTACTAATGTTTATAGAGTCCATAAAAATAAATAATGGATATTTATCATTCTGTTTTATTCCAGTAAAAAAATTAACACAATAAAAACAAATATACAATCAATCACAGAACCTTCTCCTTTTTTGAAGTCGGTTAAAACAATTTTTAAGTTGCCTCGTAAACGTTTCACTGGACATTATGGCGTCTCACTGGTATGTGACGTAACACAACTGACATTGAAACGTCAAACGATACAAGTGTAATGACACTGACTCGGAAGTTTACTAACGTGTGACGTCATTTTAGTCTTCGCCAATCCCAGGCGTTTTCGGTCACGTGACCCCATGGAACGAAATAACCATTTCTATTTAATGACTTATTCGAAAAGTTGTTAATTATTTGTTACATTACAATTTAGAAAAATTGCTGCTAAATGTTAATAGTAATGTGCTTAAAAAGCGTACTAAGTAAAATGAATACCTATTTCGGTTGGTCACGCCATAACAACAAAGCAATAAATATTATGACTTTAATTAGAGAATGACTTAACCGATTTTGTCCAGCTTATTTGTAGGATTTCGAATTCTCACTAGACCCAATAAGACTAGAAGTTACTAACGGAAAAATATTTGAGAAATTTTAAGAAAGGAGATTGCTCAAATTGGCCCAAATGCAGAAAAAATATTGACATACACGGTAATTCTAGGCGTAATTTATAATTTAATTTACAGTCATTAGATTTCAACGGACACCCTTGTATAATATATTTTCTTTAAAAAGGACTTTTAATTTTACCGGTTTGGAAAACATACGAATCATTTTAATGGCTATGGGTGTAGTAACATTCAGCTAAAGACTGATCGAAGTTGTTTATATAACATAAAAACAAATCTATTTTGTAAAGATCGATAAAATAAATCATTTTTTTATTACACTGTGGTATTAATATCCACAACTATATTATCATTTTCACTAGATGCAAATGTGCTCAGACAATTATTATAGATGGTAGGCGACATCATAAAGTCTATTGCCTTACATTTTTCGTCAAACACCTCCATAAACACATTATAATCTGTATATATGTTAGACTTTAAGGTATCTATGGGCCTACGTTCCCTGACTATAAATTAATGTGATAAAATAGGTGTGATACACTAAAAATCTTAAATATGGTTATCTTAAAAACATAACAAAAATAATAAAGCTACTGAATATATGGCTATAGAACCTAAATCTCTTAGCTTTGTTTGGTTAACGAGAGTTTAAAAATTCTCTCTAATCTGTGGCTCATTCACAATCATCACACAGTTTCTGTCCCATAGTACCTTATTATAACCGGAAATAACACCTGATTTTAAAAGTTACTCTTATGCATTAACTTTAAAAACAAGCAACTATCTGTTAATCTACATGCTCTATATACCTGAATCTAATCCATAATTTCTGTACTTGACTTGATTTCCCTAGTTTACTATATAACTTATTTGTTTTTTATTATTTTAATATGTTCAGTGTATATGGTTTATAGAAGTTCTCAGGGGTGTCCGTCAATAATATTCGTTTCTACAGTAATTTATATATAATTTCGAATCTAGGAAACAATTTTTCATGATTATTGGTCTTTAGGCCAAACATGTATGGAAGCTGAGCAATCTCCTTTACACCCGATAGGTTGCGCTGCAGTTAGGTTTTCGGATATTGTCATATACATATTCCTATCGCGCAGAACAACCTCTTTTGGGTCTGTTTGTATCACAATCACAAAACTTTATAGAACCTAAATTTGGAAACAACATAACAACTTTTACTGTTATTTAATGAATAATTATGAATACGTTTCAGCTGGTGCCTTGCCTTCTGGACGTATTCGTGGGCATCGAGATGACAGGTCAGAGCGTTCAATTCGAGCAGAAGTTCAACTACCGCCGCCCCATGTATCTGGTCATGGACTTCCTATGGGGCATAGAGGAACATAGGGACGCTATTACGTAAGCATACCTCATTTTTAGGGTTCCGTACCTCAAAAGGAAAAAACGGAACCCTTGTAGGATCACTTTGTTGTCCGTCCGTCCGTCTGTCAAGACCGTTTTTCTCAGGAACGCCATGTCTACTGTCCCTTGGAGCTTTGAAAAAATCAAACTTCTAAGCCAAAGCAATCAAAAGATACAGCCGTTAATGCCGTAAATTTTCGAAACTCGCACGGGAATCAAAACCTACAGGGTACTTCCTGTGAACTTAGAATCTTGAAATTTGGTACGAAGTAACGTCTTATAGTACAGATAAAGAAAAAAAAATTTTTTAGTTACTTCATACAATATTTGTTTCTTAGGTTTTCCCGCACACATTAAATAAAACAAAACTTTAAAAATCGAACAATGAAATAACCGAACGCTCAATAAAAGTCTTTCGAAGGAGCTCGGCAAAATAGGGAAGTTGCAAATATAATATTTATGAACGTTTTATGATTAAAATGTGAAAAAAATATAAAAGAAAGGCCACTGCAACGTTTTTATTTTACATAATGTTGATTTTTAACAATAATTTCGAATAAAAAATGACTTGAAAAAAAAACGTATTTTAAAACACCAATCAGCGTTTAGTGACGTCACTCCTGTTATGACAACTTATTTGAGATTATGGTTGTAAAAGTGAATATTATTTTATGGGAATAATAATTGCGTTTTTTTAATAAAAATGGAAGTTGGGTTTATCAAAGCAGACTCCAGGAATTTACCAGGAGTTAGTGTTTACATGGTTGTAACTTTTTTGTCCAAAGTACAGAGTTTTCAAGTGTAGAAATGAAAGGGACTAAATTACTACGGTAGGTATGTATAAATCATAGTTGTTAAACTTTGTATTTTATTCAGCGGCTTCTACACATAACAGTTATTTTAGCACAACAAGAGAATCTTACCTTAAACTTTATCTTATTTTCGACGTCATTCTCCAAATGTAAAATTAAAAATATGTTATAGACAGGTTTTGTAAGTATTAGGTAGTGTTACGTAGCGTAACAGATTTTTTAATAAAATAAAACATATTGGAAGATTGTATTTTTTTCTTTTTTTTTTGATTTATGTATGGGGTAGGTGACAAACCGTATTATCGTTCTGAGCCTACCACTGTGCCTTGTGTGTTGGTACGACTTTACGGCCGACACCAGCACCAATGAGCGAGTAGTTCACTTCGAGTCCCCGACGTGTAAGCAGCTATCAACAGCTCTAAAAGAATTTCCGTTACATCAAGTGAGAGTACCCATTTTCTCTGGAAGATATCGTGAACCCTCTGACCTGTGGACTCCTGTGTGCGATATATTGCCGGCAATAGTTTCCCAAGAGCGTTGACGAACCCCGTTCTGAAGCCTAGCCCTAGGTACCCGTGGCGGTGTAAGGAGCGTTTGCGGTAAGTCGCCGAACCCCGGCTTTTATCATACAGGTAGGTTACTAACGCGTTAATATGTACAAGCAGATTAAATAAGCATTTAACAAGTATATTCGCCGACTTACGTCAAAGTGATCTTCACAGCATCGAATAATGGTCTTTGGAGAATAATTGTTATTTCTCTTCGCAGCTTGAAATTTGGGTCAATGAAATTTAGGTACTTAATTCCATTATATGTAATTGAATTTCGGGGTAATTTGTAGGGGGGGGGGAGGGGGGCTCCACCCGACCCCCCGCCATAAAAGATTTTTGGCGGAAATGCAGTTTTTTTTTTTTACCTAACCTAAAAATTCATTAAATCTGTTAAATGTAGTGGAATTTCAGGGGGATAGGTATTAGGGAAGACCCCTCAGAGGGAACGGTAACCCCTCCCGGCGTTTTTTTTACAGAAATTATAATTATAAAAAATTAGAGGGGTTTTAAAGGTAAAACTGTACTTCCAGGGCCTAGTATCACCTATATTTGATTTTTTTGTAGAAAAAGTCTCTATTAACGAATTTTTCTTTCTGGCAGGTCATTTCACTTTTAGGTCACAACACTAACCTAACCTAACCTAGTGTGAAGTATCACCACACAAGCGGCTCATTAGAGTCCAAAACTCGCACTACACTCAACTCTTCAGGCAAAAGGACAGCAGAACTCGAGGCCGAAGGCTTTGAGGATGCCATGTTAATCAGACGATGTTAATATCAACAGGAGTACGAAAAAACTCTCAACTGCGACGAACACAAACACTGACTGACATATCTCATTAATGGCGGTAAATTGTCACATTTTGACAATAGTACCAACATAATAAACTTATATTTACCATAGACAACGAGAAACGTGTTATTTTTGCATAAAAAAATGGCAGCACTGATATAAATTGCTGTCAAAATTTACTCATAACCTACAAAAATAATAATTTTCAATATTTTTTTTCTCGAGTTCTATTTGTTTCCGTCTAAAAAGATTTCGTGTTTTTAATAGTTATTACTTTGCGTGACAAAAATTTCAGCTTGCAACCCAATTACATATAATGGAAAGCAGAGCCACTATTTCAATCAAAAGTCCAAAACAATTTATTTGGAAACTTTGTTGAAGTAGATGGACTCATTGACACAAAACATGAGTCAACACGGCTTTTTTTCACAATATTAGTGGTATTGTTATGATCACCTGATGTTGATGGATAGTCCATTTTAAATTTTTACAAAAAAATATCTCGAAAGTCGAAAAAATATGCAAAAGTATGAAAATTTAAAGCCAGCGACTAACAAGTACGACCAATGACAGACAGGAGTGACGTCATCGGAACCATAGGTCCGTTTTCGCGCTAAAATTTAAACTGTCAATTTAAAACCGCATTATTTTCGATAAATTACAATATTTTATTTTTTTAATATATCTGTGGTTTATTCTACATGGAATTCTTTAAAATAAAAATATTGCATCTTCCCTATTAAATAAAAAATAATTCTGACGAAGCAGCCTGAAAAGGCTGCGAAACGTCAATAAATAAATAAAGTTTCGTGCATTAACCCGTTAAAACTAGTTTTATTTACATCATATAATAAAAAATATTTTTGAAAATTCAGGTTTGTACGGAACCCGCGGTGCGCGAGTCCGACTCGCACTTGGCCGGTTTTTTTATTATTATTATGTTAAGTATTAAACTCCTAGATTCATTAGTCTAAAGTTTTTTTTTACTCTAGTAAAAAAGAACACTCGGTCAATGTTACAGACAGAATAATAGTTTACTACCTATATAAAAGTTCGCAAATCTCTGCGATATTTTGATTGTAATGTTGCCCTTTCGCTGTTAGACGCCCCTTGACGCGACGACTTGCTTAGCGAAAATTTGTTCTTGAATTAAAGGCCTTTTTTTTAATGCAATAAAATAAACTTGACTAGTATAGGAGAGCACTCTTATCATGTATTAATAAGGTTATCAATCAAGTCAATAACATAGACATATTAAGAAAACTTACTTACAACTTTTCCCAATAGGTTTACTTTGCATGTACTAAGCGTTTGCTTCGAGTTAGCCGGTCCTACCCTCCCCACCTCACCGCACCGCGCTCCTAAACAGACCCTTTAAGGCGACCCTATTGGTCGACGGTACCAATTGATGTGCCTGTGACTGGCCTGTTACACATTTTGCAGCGGTCGTTGACAGCCAACTCCAAGCGAACTGATTGTATCGCATCAGACATGCAATTCTGCAAATTTTTATATTTATTACAGGCGCCTAGCTAATGAAGCCGAGGCTAACATGGAGGCGGTTCACCCACCTATATTCCTGAGATTCGTCAACCTGCTGATGAACGACGCTATTTACTTACTCGACGAAGCGCTCGGCAATATGGCGCAGATACGAACTATGCAGATCGCACAGTACGTAACTGTTGAAGCTTTATATTATTATTATTTTTTGCGTAAATTTTGAAGCTATTTCTCATTAATATTTTGGTGCAATCTCCACGGAGAAAATAATCTAATCAAGGTTTGTCTATTCTCGGATCATCGCCACCACGTCACTGCCTAAGTTTGATTGAATTTGCATAAAAAAATCTTATCAAAAAACCCCTTTTTTATAAATAGCATCATATCCCATCTCAAAATAAAGCAGCATTTTTATATTAAATTATAAAACCTGCTACTCCATTATTTGACTTTTAACTAAACCATTCTATAAGATTAAAAAAAATGTGATTTAATAAAATCTGACGCACATCTGATTATTGTTATTGTACGAGTATGTGTATTTATTATTAAGATTTAGCCACCATTTCCGCTTTCCTTAATACCGGTGTTACTGAACTCAAACATGTGCTTAATTACGCTCGCTGATAACTTCACTGCGTAAAGTTTGATCGTACCCTGATATAAAACGTGTTTGCAGGGAGACAGGCGCGTGGAACAAACTATCCGCACAAGAACGGGAACAGAACCTCGCCAATTTATCACACACGGGTAACCTGGCGCGATTCGACAACATTCTGGGGCGGGATACTACACGAACGTTGGCGCGGCTCACTGCGCATGCGCCGCGTGTGTTCTGCCATCCCACGCTGGTGGAGCGCGTCGCCTCCATGCTCAACTACTTCCTGCTGCACCTGGTGGGGCCCAACAAGAAGAGCTTTAAGGTATCACACTAAGAACCCGATAACATCCTTGGGTGGATACTTTTTTTTTATATAGAGACTAGGTGACCCAGCGAACTTCGTACCGTCATAAAAATAGAGGCTGGTAGTAGAAGGATGAAAATTTAGGGTTGTTTGTTTTTTTAGTGCCACATTATAAAAAAAAATGTCCAAAATTAAAAATTAAAAAAATTAAAAGGCTGGACAACCATTATGCGAATGTTTATCCCAGATAATAATTTTACATTGTTTCAGCACTATGGCCATAGACGATTGTTTTTTCTATGTTGCACACTGCATCTGGATTATTTTGGATGTTCAATGACTCTACCCCACCTGATGTTAAGTTGTAATAAAGTCCAAACGCGAAGATAGCTGGTACAGCAGTTTTTATACTACACGGGCGTTGGCGTGGCTCACTGCGCACTCCATAGTTAACAACTTCCTGCTGCACCTGGTGGGGTCCAAAGAAAAGCTTCTAGGTATCACACTTGGAACCTAACAACATCCTGGGGCAGGAGATGACCCGAACTCTGGCGCGGATCACTGAGCTCAATACCGCAAGCGGCTAGCACGTTCGGCTGCGATCGTTGGAGTTAAACAACTTTCGCAGCGGTCGGTCATTAGATGGATGAACAAAAAATTTACTATCTCGAGCTCCTCCGTGCTTTGGAAGGCACGTTAAGCTGTTGGGATCGGCTGCATCTGCAATCGCTAGCACCCATAATCCGCACTAGACCAACCTCCCTATACCATCCATAGGGGAGGCCTGTGCCCCACCAGGGGACGTTAATAGGCTGATGATGATGAACGGTTCCGTCTCCCTACCAGGGAAGTTAAATAAAAATTTGTGGGAAACAGTGTAAAGACTTGTATAGGCAGAATATGCACAGTAAGACCTCGTCAGGGTTTCCCAGATGTAAGGTAGGAACTTATATTATGAGTGGGCCACAGGAAGGTCGCGTGTAGGCTAACAACAGGTAGCTCTACAACAGGCAGGGTCGCAGCGAAACGGACGTAGACTCGGAGTGACTTGCGACGGCAGTTATGGTTAGAACCCTTCGTGTGCGAGTCCGACTCGCACACGAAGGGTTTCACATATCAGGTTCAGGATCGGTCATCACATAATCTAAACATTACAGAGATACATTCTCTCGAGCGGCCAACGGCCGAAAGTCGGCACCTGTCAATACCCAGATTTGCGGCAAGCGGCCGAAAGTCGGCCGTTTGGCAGACATGCGGCACGCAGCCGACTTTCGGCCTTCATTCATTTTGCTATCACCTACATTCTTATATCAATTTTTAGAGGAAAGAACGGGCTAGCTATCTAGCCATTGATTAAGTCAAATGCAATGAAATATTTATACTGTTATCTATGTAAGTTGGTTGTTCGCCGTTCCTTGTTGAAATATAAAATGAAATAAATTATTATTTACGACTAGTGGGCCGCCCTCGCTTCGGTGTAGAGCTGTAGTGTAGACTATATAGTTTTTGTTCTCTCTACATTTTATTTAGAAAACGAATTTTTCTCACCTTTTAAACCTTCCCTAGACCTCCACGAACATTTCAAGACCAAGATAAGACAAATCCGTTCAGCCGTTCTCGAGTTTTAGTGAGACTATCGAACAGCAATTGATTTTTATATATGTAGATAGATGATGATGATGTTTTCTATTTCAGGTAAAAGACATGAAGGAGTTCGAGTTCGACCCGGCGAGTACCGTTCGCGACATCTGCCGCATGTACGTGGAGCTGGGCAGCAACGAGCGGTTCTGCGCCGCAGTTTCGGACGACGGCCGCTCGTATTCACCGCAACTGTTCACTCTAGCGGAAGCCGTGTTAGGTTAGTCGCAACTTTAAGCACGGCTTTAAATAACTACATGCCGCTTTGGTCCTATCCGGTAAGATAGTGTTGTTTAACAATTTAAGGTAAATGACACTTTAACTCTTAAATAGTAGATTGTATGACAAGGGAGGGAGCAAAATAGTATTTTTATGGCGAGGGCGCTACTTTGAAGCACGAGCGAAGCGAAGGATTCTAGAATATAATCCCGAGCGTAATAATGAATATATTTAAATAAAAGCAGACATGTGAAATGAAGTAAAAATAATTACAAATTTATATTAGATATGCTAGCGCAATAATTAAAAGTTATTGTTACTATTTTATTTGGGATCGATATTGTTGTCGATTCATTTACATTTTGAGTATTTGTTATCTTAGTATCTGAGTGATGCTCAAGAAAAGGAACAGAATCCTTTGATGTAGAAGGACGTAACGACAATGGCATGGATGAAGTGTCTTTAGGTATTAATTTAATGTTTTCTGCAATGCGGGTGCTAGTTTTTTCCTTATTTTGAATAGAATCTTCGATGTAACCCTCTGCTACAGAGCTGGATGTCCCCCCTCCGTGCCGCTTTAAAACAGTAAGGTCCGCTCCAGAATTTACCAAAAGTGTAGCGGAAGTTCGGCGAAAACAATGTCCTGTGTATAGCTTGCAATCGGATACATAGCGATTTCTAGGGGCATTGAAGATATTCAATTTTTTCTCATAACCTGTTTGAAGCACTTACCATTTTGATATCTAATAAAAATTCTGTTAGATGTTATATCAGAAGGACGCAGGCTCTGACATTTTTTCTACTATTCGTTTGTACTGGCCACAAATGACGAAAGACCGATCAATTTTTGTTTTTGTATCAGTTAAAATCACTAAAATTAATTAATCTGAGTGTTTTTTGATATCTTCGATTGATATTTTTATAAGCTCCATGTATGCCGAATATTAAAGCCACCTGTATGCTGTAACAAAACAGAATGGAAATCAGACAAGTAGGTACAATAATACGTACACATTTTAGAACACTGTTTATAAATTACAATGGAAAAATAAAAGATACATACTTTTGTTGCGAGAAATTCCTTATCAGGCGCGTCATTCAAAAAAGTCTCCACGTTTTGGTAAGAAAATACTTTTGATTTCTTTGGTTTGTGTTCTTCGGATAGTCTCTTCAGATAAGCTAGAATTTTTGAGTAGCTATCAATTTTAATATTTTTATTGATATATACTATAAATTTAAGCATTGAGTATATACTCCAAAGGTTGCTTAGTTTTGGCGAATTCTTGAAAATAGGCAAAAACACATATTCCGATAACGCTTTCGCTCCTTTTCTGTTTTTCCATAGAATGAAATTGTCATAGGCCCTTAAATATTTCTCCCGCGATTTCGTGGGTAATAAGTTTTGTACAACGTTGTTAGCTTCTATAGTTATTGTTTCAGGAGTTAATGCATTATCACTTTCATAACTTGAGGTAGTAGAACTGCAATTTTTTTTGCAATAAAATATGTACTGAGGTAACAAGAACAGAAAAGTAATTCGTGCGCTTTTGTTTTTTTTTTTAAGTTAGCGCGGGTCCATGCCATGCAGCCAACATGTACTAGCCAGTAATTCATACAATTTGAGTTCGATTTCTATGAAAGATATATATTCTAAATTCAAATCTCTTTTACGCCCGTTTAAAAGTTCTTATCGGAAAAGAGCTATTTTGTTCGCACTTATAGAGGAACAAAGCGACACTTCGAATAGAAGGGATGAAAAATATATAAGGTCATATATAGTGAAAAAATATTAAATACTTTCTTTTCAACTACACAGTTCGAATTGGTGGCGGCGGTCTAATCAGCTCGCTCCAAGAAGTGGCATCCCGTGTCAGTCTACGCGCCGAACAAAGGCAACGCGACGAAGAAATCCTAGCCAATGCACCCGATGAATTCCTCGACCCTATAATGAGCACCCTAATGATGGACCCTGTGATACTGCCCAGCTCTCGCACCACCGTCGACCGGACTACTATCGCCAGGTAGGCAGTACTATAGGCTAAGTAGAACAAATTGATGAATAAATCTTAGCCAGTGCGCCTGATGAATTCCTCAACCTTATAATTAGCACCCTCATCCTGGATCCTGTGATACTGTGGCCAGCTCTCGTACCACCGTCGACCGGACTACAATCGCCAGGTAGGCAATACTATAGGCTACGTAGAACAAAGTGATGAATAAATCTTAGCCAATGCTCCTAATGAATTCCTCGACCTCGACCATTTCTTTGTTTATTGCCTCCATATTCGACCTTCTTTCACAAATCGTAAGCGGCTCGGGGTGCCAGATTTAAAAATGCGCCCTCGTTATGGGCCTCCACAAATTTAAATCCGATCCTGATTGCTCATGCTTTGTTTATTCTAAATCCTACTCTTTCTCGCTTCAGAGGCCCAATTCTCGCGGCGTAAATATTATATCGTCTTCGAGATAATATCGAAAGTAGGGATATCTATTGAAAATATCTACTGATGGTAAAAAATGCTATTCTCGTGGATTTTCGATATTCCAATGATATTATATCTATCGTAGATATTCTTTCACTGCCGAATGCGTTCCGTTTTTCTCGATTAAGTTAACATCATAGTCTATATAAAATAATAATAATTTAGAGCATAATTTTACAAGCAACAAAATGATATTTTATGAATTCCATTCATATTAGATATGAGTATACATTTTTTGAGTATAAGAAATCTCAACTTTACCTAAATTGTATGCGTATATAATTTCAACGTTAAGTATAATGAACCGTCAATATTATTTAAGATTCTCCCTTTTCAGGGAAGGCAAAGGGAACAATGCCCATAAAGCCTAGTCTTTAGTTATATTAATCTTCTTTTTTTTACATTCGAATGTCGGTGTGACGCATTCTAATGTTTCTTGGAGTGTTTGGCACGTTTATGGAGTTGGCTTTTTCTCTAAGCTTCTGTGAGGTAGTCAACACTACAAGAAACTTCTCGCGTCCACTTGACTTGGAATAGCGTATATTTTAAAGATTCCACTAATTCTTCAGTTGCGCAGACGGTTGTAACACCAAATCACACCAATTTTATTTCACAATATCCACTATGAACGAATTTTAGAATCTCTTATCTATTAGACAAGTCCGTCCGTCCGTCCGTCTGTCTGTGGTGCTGTTTCAGCGGCCAAACCATAAGAGATAGATAAAGAGAATGTTTAAGTTATAAGTTAAGAATAGTCTGATAAGACTACAAACCGGATTTGAGTAACGTAGCACTTCCGGTTTTCGAGAAATCACGAATTTCAAACGAAACCACACAAAATCTCCGAAGTTCTCAATTAATTAAATACATTTTTTTTTTCGTCGGCGTCCCTCATTTCAAATGGGCCCTCTTGCTCTCACAACGGCGGCGCCTTAGCACAGCAGCAGCAATCACGTCATTTATTAAAGCATTGACGAAAACATGAATCAACTCATCCATCGTTAATATAAACTGGTGTCGATTCTGGCACGATTCTCTAAATCTAAACTTAAACTTGACAACAGTGTTTCCTTGTCATTCTCTATACAGAATGAAAAAGAGAGACTGATGTTAAATTTAGTTTTAAGTTTAGAGAATCACGCCAGAATCGACACCATTGTTTACCTACTTCTTTATTTACTAATTATTTATGAAGGCAGTTAACAACATCTTGAGGTAACAATAATTGGCAAAGACACACGACAACACAATAAATAATAGGTAAAAAAAGTGGAAATAACATGATTGACATGCCAAGATCCATAGATATTTATATATCGAAGGATCTTTACCAGTCGATGTATGTCTACTGATCATCCGTAGATAAATATCTATTGCGACATGGTGAGAATAGGGCAAAAAAGTTTTCCTTCGATAAAAGCCAGATCATTCGATATATATCGAAGGTGATATAATATCTATGCCGCGAGAATTGGGCCCCTGGAGACAAGACGACAATAGCGTTTACAGTGGCGTTGTTATTTTAATTTGTTCTTCTTCATAATTATTTATCTTATTATTTCTTTCACAGGCATCTTCTTAGCGACCAATCAGATCCATTCAACCGATCACCTCTCTCCATGGACCAAGTCAAATCTAACACTGAACTCAAAGAAAGAATTCATGCTTGGATAGCCGAAAAGAAAGAGAAAATTGCTCAAACTAGGACCAGTAATATTTAGGCATATTACAATAAAAGACTGTTCATTACGACATAACATGATAGACTAGTATCAATCTAGAGTATTCTAGGGTAAATGAGCAGTAGATCGTGTGATAAAGTTTGTAAACACAACATTTTACAAAAAAGGCGTGCTATAATTTTCGTAAATATCTAAACTATTCGTATGAATGTCCTTACATGTGAACATGGCATAGACGATTTTTTAAATTTTATACAACACTCGTGGAAGATTTTTGATATTAAATGAAAATCATGCTACTATAGGTAGACCGCTAAACTGAGACCTCGCCGGCGGGGTAATAATAGAAGATTCGAACCTACATCGACCTTCACCGACACATATTTTATCATGAATTTAGTATATTACAAAATATATTAAATATAAAATGGGGGGCCTAAAAAAATCCTGGACCGACTATTTTTAATATTTTCTACAAAAAAATATTTAAAAAAATATATGTTGCAATACATCAGATAATAAAAAAAAATGTTTGACTTAAAGTATAAAATATATAATGTGTAGCCGTTGGGTAATGTAACTGGCATCGACATACCTGTTTATACCTGGTAACCCAGTAGTTCGCCCAGGTAAATAGTAGACAACGTTTTCTTATAATCTTGATGTTGCAACATTTAATTTAAAGTATACATTTTTTATTTTTTTTTAGGCAACCGATTTTTAATATATTTTGTAATATACCAAATCATGATAAAATATGTTTCATTTTATTATCAGCTCGATGAAGGTCGATGTAGGTTCGGATCTTAGACCATAAAGGGTAAAGGACGAGAACGGGGACCGTAAGAGGTGCGGGCGGCGGGCGTTTGTAATTTTGACAGAAATGATAATTGAAGAATGTGCATACAGCCCGCACCACGCGAAGCGAGGGGAGGCAGTCTATAATATAGTTACACTTATTCATGTATTTACCAAAGAGAAAAAAGTTGGTGAAAATATTCTTGAGTGAACAAAACTCATTCTTCTATTTTGCCCTATAATAAATTATGGTGTATTTGGTAGTATGTATATTAATAAGAAAAGTTTATTTGTTTTTCTGTTACATTTTGGTTGCATTCCTTGGAAATGTATTGATAAATCTATATGTTTTATGCAATTATTTTTGCATTGTGATATTTTGTTTTGTGAGTTATTCAATGATCCACATAGAATGTAATTATTATTATAATAAAATAACATGTAAAAAAGCATTTCTTTTTATTTTATAGTAAATAAATTCCTTTTTCTGGTAATAGAAGTAAGTTTCGTATTTCTTTGTATAAATAAAATTGCAAGTTTTTTTTTATGTTATAGGGGGCATACGAGCAGACGGCTCATGATGGTAAGTGATCACCGTCGCCCATGGACACTTGCAACACCAGGAGTATCACAAATGCGATGTCGGCCTTTAAGGAACGAGTACGCTCTTTTTTTGAAGGTTTTTGGGTCGTATCGGTCCGGAAACACTGCTGGCGACAACATATTCCAGTTTTGTCGTACGTGGTAAAAAATTTCGACAAAAACGCACGGTTGTGAATAGCCACGCATGAAGATGATGGGGATGAAATTTTTGTCGCGATGTACGATGGCGAAATGCAGCAGCTGGGATTAATCCGAACAATTCCTCAGAACACTCCCCGTGATAAATGCGATAGAAGATGCAGAGCGAAGCTACATCCCTACGCAAAGCCAAAGGATCGAGCTGATCAGAAAGGTCCTGGTCGTCGACGATTCGAGCCGCTCGGCGTTGGATACGATCCAAAGGGAGAAGCTGGTATTGGGGTGCCCCCGCCCAAAGATGAGAGCAGTACTCCATGTGAGGCCGAACCTGTGCCTTATAAAGCTGCAGTCAGTGGGCCGGTGTGAAGTACATTCTCGATCTATTGAGCACACCAAGCTTTTTAGAGGCCAATTTGGCCTTGCCCTCTAAATGATAATAAATAATGATAAATAATATATAATAATAACAATAATGATAAATATAAGTGCCTTATGGATGGGACCAGTGTATATATGCGAAGGCGGTTATTAACGATTTTAACTAAGTGGTTAAAATGCATTTTTGTTAACTTTTTTAACGGTTATTTACAAATTGTATGCTTGATATGGTTAGCAAGCATCGTTCGATGGCTGTAGTGGATTGAAATGCGCAGTGCAAGTTTATGGGTAGAAGCTTATGTAGAAGTACTATTATAATGATATTTTTCAATGTAATATTTCAAATATTAGAGGGGAGGTGGTTAATATATCGCAAACGGAACCTTGAATCGATAAATAGACTTAGCAACCCCTAAGTCATATTTAACGATAACGGTAAAGGATGAAAAAAAGTTAACACCTGGGGACCTACCCTAAAAAACATAACTTTTCCATGCGTTACCTTAGTAGTACTAGAGAATGAAATAAAACCAGGTAAATATGAATTTACATTCAATCAAGAAATAAATCTTAAACAAAATGTAAAATTTAAAATTCAATATTGTTAAATGTTACACTTCTATAACTTCATCGTCGTTCACAGACGCCGACGCTTCTGTCGATGAAGCCGATGTCGAAGCTGAAGATGTTTGGTTGTGGCTGTAGTGGATTTTGGAAAGAGTATTTTATGTTTTTTCAATGATATCTTTTGATTGCCGGATAGAGTTTGCATTTTTTGTTTGTACTTTTTTGTTTCAGCATGTCTTCTCAAATTTACTACTTTTGCTAATAATTCTGCTTTACAAAATGAACAAAACGCCTTCGCATCAACACCTGCTCATCAACATCAAAGGTTTAAGTCAGGTTTGGAATTCGTAGAGTGATTCCCATTCTTTTCTATACTTTTGTAAGTAATTCTTTTTTTTTATTAGAATTTCCATAATAACATATAATTGAATACTCTAAACATACAGCTTCAGGAGTTCATAAACTGTTACAAATGTTTCTATCAAATCAAACTTTTACACTTTTTAACAACACAATGAACGCGAACCTAATTCATGAAACAGAATGAACGATTAAAGGAAGCCCTTAACAGACAAATGCGTGTAGGAATTCCCCTGTCACAAAGTAAGCATAGAAATTATGAAAATTCGGAAAGTTAGGGGATTTCCCCCTTTAAATATGTTGCTAGATTTCATGTTAAAAAACCACTAAAAAACATTAAAAAAATGTACTAGATAATGAAAATATACCACTAGTAGCCGTGAAAAAGCACCAGTTCTGCTGGAAAAACCACCAAGGTGGCAACACTGGAAACTATTAATAGTGGTAGGGCATTCACATAGCGGATATAGTAGAATTGAAATTCCTACCTCCACCATATATCAATGCATCCACCCTACAAAGCCAATAAAATCCAACAACCAGTTTGTTGTGTTGTGTAAAAAATGATTAAAATTGAATTCTCAAAAAGTCATGATCATCCTATTAACAAGATAAAAGGCCTCTGTTCTATATATTTCACTTATCCCGATTTATAGGTTACAATACTCAACGTCAATCTTGCTAATATAGTCCATGGTCTATGAATGATGAATATACAAGGAATAAAAAGACTATATAAAATAAGAGTTATTTATCTATATATACACACATACACACACAACACACACACCGGTTAATGCTATACCTTAAATTAGTGTAGCTCTAAAGTGACAATAGTGGGGAGAGCACTGTCTTCTGGTCCTCAGGGTAACCTTTTCCAGAGGACAGGGTTCACATTATCATGTACTAAAATGTAAAGTGGTTCCAATAAATTATAATTATTATTATATATTCTATATAGACAATGCACAAAATCTTAGTTAATCTGTGATGTAATTGTTATGGGGCGGAGTAATCAGCTGTTAATTGCAATGCCAATAGTTGTAAATTACTCCTAGTATCGCTATTAATTTGATAAATATCATAAATATCTATATTTTTTACCGTTACCTTGTTCGTTTAATATTCAGACAGGTGTTTGTTTATGATTTATTCCAAACAAAAAATGGAATGGCGCGATGTAACACTGGATGACAAGCATCCAGTGTTGCCATATATACGGATTTGTCTGTATCCATACGGAATTTTAACACAAACCGGATAATCAGAGCATACGGATTTTTATACGGAATTGTGAGGAAAAACTGTAGTTTATTAATATTTCTAATCCCAATAAAATAGTTTAATCAAACGAAACAATTCACATTATCTGATGCTACTTCAATACAAGTGATTTGTATTTTTTCAGCGAATTTAGCCAAAATCAGGCAAACACTAGTAAAGAACATTTTTGGCTCTAGGGAGTTCCCTCGAAATACTAAGGTTGTTTATGATATCGAAAGAAAGAAAACGTTCAAAATATTTATAGTAATCTAAAGGTTAAATGCTTAAAAAATGAATTGAATCATTGTCTTAATTTTGTATATACTGGGGCATTATTTATTGTCATATACTCGTACGAAAGCGTTATTAGCAGACAAGCAATGTTTAAAATTACTCAATATACAAATATTTTGGTTGGAAATCATATTTATATTATTATTTATATTTATTTTTTAAAGAAAAAATACATTATAACGTTTTGTTGAATTTTTTTTCTTGTTTTCATAACAAATTTCTCTCTAAAATTGTTCTTAAAGGTAGTTTACTTCAACTACTAAAACTTCATACGGAATTCGTCAATGAAAGTTACGGAAACACCCGTTAAATATCTGGCAACACTGTTGCCATCTGTCAGCTTCATTCATCCATTGTGTAGTTAAAATGTGACTCGTACGCTTCTAATTTTTGTATTTATGTAATACTAAGGAGAACGTTGATTGTATTATTTTATTATTTACGATTTATTTTCTGAGTGTGCAAATGTTGGGTAATTATTTGAAGAACTTTCTTAATTGAGCTAAGAACATTGTTTATCGGGCCTGAAAATTGTTGTCTCTACAAAGAAACTTCAGCGTCCCGATCATCAATTGGTTATTTTCAGTATTGTGCTGGTTACATTTGACTTTAAATAGTGTTAGTGTGTTTTTCTAAAAGTCGGCAAACAGTGTAAAGCATGTCGGGTCGTGTTCGAAAGCAGTCCGACTGCCCAGTTGGGAAACAAGGGCCAATGAGAGCTACTCTCCCGGTGTCATCAGTGATGAAGCAAAGTGGTGGTTTGAAGAAGAATGCCGGCAACAGTCCGACTTTGTCCCCAACGAACGCGTGGCGACGAATATCGCCCGATCACGCCCTTTCGGGACAGAGGAGCCCTGGTGCAGTAAATTACAAAGGTAAGCATCTTGTACTTACTGCTATATTTGTTGTTCTTGTGCTTCTTATTAGTTCCAATTTGAATTTGTTTCAATGCTAGCCAAATCTTTATTTTTGATCTAATATAATTTCAAGGTGAAACAAATGCCATAGGAATATGAATTATAATTTGTCCTCTACACATTTTATTAAGTACAATGGATAACAAAAATTTGGGAAAGTTAAGCTGAGCTCGTTATTTGTCCAGATACCATACTAAGTGTTATCTCTTTGTTTCTAGTATGAAGGTTACTTTTGATGGAGATGATTTCCTTCTAATAAAATTAGTGTTCTTTTTCAAAAATAACTTTTTTAATAACATGTTTGAATCTAATGTTAAGTAGGTAATTTTGGGGTGAAATGGTTAAATTGTTATTTAACAAAATTTATTATTTTTGATTTTGAAATATCAGGGTTTCTATTTAAAGTGACATTTGCATACTTAATTCCATTACTTGTGGTGGAATTTTGGGTCATTAATATTAATATTATTAATTAATTTTATACTATTTTCTTTTTATGTTTCATTAAATATCTAGAATAAATAAAATAGAGAGATATTTTACAACCTTATCATTATGTAATAATAAACAAGGAACTTTAGCTAAAGTTTCTCAAATAGACAAACTTAAACTATACATAAAATTTTGTCTCTTTAATACTCTCTAATAATTTACTCACTTAAAATTTTTCCAGGCAAAGGTCGTTTTGGTTCGAGTGTAATCAGACGTACAGCTTCTTTGGATACATTATATCATAAAGGCCAATGGTCCAGGGACTACTACTTACATGCTGGCCAACTGCAAGTGGACAAATCGACTCAGGTATTCCCCTTTTTAAACAATGAAATACTTTTAAAAACAATCTTTTTCAGTTTGATACAGTTACCTTGCTCCACATAGTAAATCAATTTATTATTTATTTACAATTTATTATCTTCTGAAGTTGAGAGTTTACAGTCAGTAATAAACTTAATCAGATTCGTTTTTGACGGCTGGCTTGTTGTGTAACTGTGTGTCACTATCAATTTATCCACTGAAATAAATTAAATTTAGAAGAGATTATCATTTTAATGACTCTGACACTGATTATCAAAAAGCTTCAAGAGTTTTTAAGTTACTAAGGTTAGCTTTTCTTCATGCATATCAGATGTGGTGTGTAAGAGGTTTATGCTAATTCTTACGTTTTTATTTAATCCAAACATTATGTTAAATAGTTTATACAACAATAATGTAAATCATGTTTATAATATTTCCTTATGAAACTTATTTATTACTGTCAAAAATACCAATTTGTACCTAACTATAAGATCTGACTCGTTTGGTTTTAAAAACCATTTTTTACTTTTTTTAGACTGATGAAGGGGGTGGAGCTTCTGGTCGATCTTCGAGAGGCTCAGATGATGACAAGCTTGACCGCTTTTTAAGAAGTCGACTGCAACGACCGCACAAATCGGCTACCTCTGGTGATTCAGGACATGCAATGAGCCCAGGCTTTTGTAAGTTCTTCTTATAAACAAAATTACACATATTATATTTTATTTTGTATGAGTAACAAATAGGAGAAAGTAAATAAATTTCCTCTTTATGTTGCCATTTGTATAATGTAAAATTATAACATTAGAATTCTTACCATCAAAGATATTCAAAATAAATATAGAGAATAGATAGTCTTTATATTCAGAAAATTTTTTGGTACATATTCAAAAATATATTTTACAATTAGGTAAATATATTCTCTATTGCCCTACTCTTACAGATACCAGCAGTCAATGTCGATTGTATAATCATTAATATCTGTTAATTTCCTGCTGTTACAACTTATTTAACTGCATTGTAATTGGATATTTGTACATTATGATATGTTTTATTAGGGTCTCGCTTTGGCAGTGGTAGTGTACCACTCCGAGCGGCGAGATCATCAGTGGAAGGCCTCAACCAAGAGATTGAGAAACTGGTTTTATATCCTGCTAGTGGCACACAAACACCTCATCTCGACCGGATAAGGGATAAGGTACAATATTATGTAGTATATATTTTGCTTTTCTTTTATAATTTATTTATGGCCCAAAGGTAATTTTTTTTTTATCTTTGTGCCATGAATTAAGGCTGTGTTAATATTACTTAACGTCATAACTTTCCAATCAGATTTAAATAGCTATTAGTTCAATATTTTGAATCTGTTACCGCATCTCTTGCTTTCCTATCTCTTTGTCTGCTTAGATGATAAAATGTTCAGCCTGTAACATAATATTTGGTCTGATATGAAAAAGAACAAGTATATAATGTATGTTAATTGACTACATAATTATATTGAACTAAAAATCCATATGCTAGAATGTAATAAATCAAAACATTCACTAAGGGCCTGCGCTGCGTTAAGCGTAAGCACGGGGCGGACGTCCGCTCCGCGTGCAGTTTCATGTCAATTCATAAAGCCGCTCTGCGTGAGGCGGGTCTCCCGTTGCAGCGCTGCTCTATGAAATGGAGTCTGCGTCGTGCTCCCGCATAACGCAGCGCAGGACGGAAAGGTGATACTTTATACACCACTAATGGGCCTGCTGCAGACGGGATTCTCTAAGTCTAAACTTAAAACTTCAGGATTTTAAATATTTAAATAAGGATATACTATTTTCAAGGTTTTCTTTTTTTATTGACAATTGTGCCTTCTGAGGATCAAACGCCAGTTTCTTGTACCGAGAGCTATACTATAAAATTTAGTTACTGAAATTAAATTAATATAAAATGATTCAGGTGACTCCTGAAGGGCACAGGGCACCACTGGCAGAGCTGTTCAGGCGCTCCGTCAACACACAAACTCCACACGATCTCTGTCACACGGCTCATTCTTCAGGTAAATTATAAACACATTCAATTTAAAGTTATTATTCTATAGAATTTTATTAAACCCAGTTAAGATTTTAAATCAGTAATTACTTTTTACATATTCTATTTGAACTATTTGTCTTACTGTTTTCTTATTTCATTATTGAAGTTAAATAAAAATATAATTCCTTTCTTTTCAAGTGAATCTGCAACATTATTTTCATAGTTTCTATTAATAATTTATTCAGGATAAAAATTGTCTTTCCATTAAAGTTCTCCCTAATTAGACACATGCAACATTTATCGTAAAATTTTTAAATAAGTACCTAGATTATTCCATATAATTGGAAGTTTGCTACTACCATTTAAAACATAATTTCTGGGGCATAGATCCACCATCGAGGGGGTCATTATCCAGCGGTGGCTCAGCGGAACTCCTGGCTGCAGGTCTTTGAACAATTCAACAAATATAAAAATATACTCTATAGCTACACCCTGCAATGAACCATAAATAAACATGCACAAGACAATATAGTCTTATCACCCTAGCATGCGGACAATCCAAAGCTTTATTGTTAGGTAGATAGAAACCGTGTTGGTTGAGCTGAAATTGAATTTTTTTATTTGTCTGTAGGTAGAATATTTTTTCCTTTGTTTTTATTTTAGAATAATAGTTGATGATTCTGTTAGCTTTAAAAATAGTTTGAAATTACTCTAGATCAGAGATTTTATTGAATAAAATTGTTATTATCTTGTCATTTGCAGGTGGTAGTGTTTGCTCGTCTCCAGATCTTGATGGGTCTAAACTTGGAACATCGCCGCAGATAAACCGCTTTTTAGCTCGGGAACCACCAGACGGTTGTGAAAAAGTAAGTGTGTACCTCATAATGTTTTCTGCGCATAAATCTTATGCACATCAAATGATAATTTGTATTGTACATTTGGCAGCAGTACTTCCTCATCCTGTTCGTAATGGATTGAAAGAGGGAGATTCCTGTGAAATTTACAAAAACGAATTATGAATAGCCAAGTGAAATGAGTGTGCCAGTAAAATAATAGTGTTGAGTTGACAAATTATCCCCTTATTAATAAACAAGGCATAAGCTTAGAATTGTTACGCTGTTTTCGTATCGCTCAAATGCCATTCAATGAACAGAGACAAAACATGAAGTTACTAAATCAAGCTTATTCTTTGTTTATTAATAAGGGAGTTAATGTTCAGTTAACTTATTTGAGAGTGGCATCGCCACCATGAACTGCTTCTATTCGCTAACTTTTTGATATTTACAGTGTAACTAAAGAGAAAATTGCATATCCATTGATGCTTTTCAGAACAAGTATCTTAGTGACGTTATAATCAAGCAGTACTTGCTCACTAAATAATCGGTTGGTAATGATTATCACTTCCATCTGTCAAAAGCAGTTTGCGAATAGTCCTACTGAACTCCATCACACACATAAATTGCATTGAGAGAGCATGTACAGAAGGCGTAATAACTTTTCTTTAACCTTGCTTACCTTTTCTATCTTCTATTATAATTCTATCTTTTCCATTTAATTTCAAGTAATCAATAATAATTATGTCACCTGCAACAATTCAATTTTCTTCATGGCATGCACGCCTCTATCATTGGTGAATGTTTTATACTAAAGTAAATATTTATTCAGTATTTCATCATGGTGTTTAATGTTTTGATAAGTTCGATGGTGCAGTGGCTAGTTAGGTTTGCGATCATGAAAGTTAAGCAATGAGCGGTTTTCCGATGGGTGACCAAAAAAGTTTTAATTCTTCGATCTCCTCTGTGCTTCTGAAGGCACGATAAGCTGTTGGCATTTGCAGATGTTTGCACCTATCTCACTGCAGTGGCCTCGCGTGGTGGGTGATGGCTTATTCTCCCTTTTCGCTAAAACCTAACGCTTAAAAAAACAAAACATAACTAGTTGTATCGAATTACGTAGTCTACAGCCGGAGGATGCAAAAAAAACGAAATTAAAATTAACTTATTTATTAAAAGCTAACAATTACAATAAAATAACTACGGACTAAAAGTAATGTACTGGTTCGATGTTGGAAACCAAGTGGCCGAGTTCTTGTTGAAAACGTGGGACTTGGGGAAGCGCTGACGCCAGGTCACGTAGGCCACTGCACGTTGCACCGGCACGTTGCGCTGACTCCACATCACGGGCTGTTGCTATGTTAATTGGATTGCCTAATACATTATGACGTCGGCGATGTGGCAGCGATGTAATTATCGTGTTTGTGAATTTAAAGGCGAACGAAGGTTAACATGTTCTCCCTTAATTAATAAGCTTATGATTTTTATCTGTATCTCTTATCTATTAGACAAGTCCGTCCGTCCGTCTGTCTGTGGTGCTGTTTCAGCGGCCAAACCGTAAGAGATAGATAAAGAGAATGTTTAAGTTATAAGTTAAGAATAGTCTGATAAGACTACAAACCGGATTTGAGTAACGTAGCACTTCCGGTTTTCGAGAAATCACGAATTTAAAAGGAAACCACACAAAAAGTTTTCAATTAATTAAATACATTTTTTTTTTAATCAGGTTTTGGTGAACATTTGGTTCACTGGTTTGCTAGTATTATATAAAAGACAACCGTTACTGACAGATCTATCAACACACAGCTCAAGCCACTAAACGGATTGTGCTGAAATTTTTACACACAAAAATCTATTCTAATGTAGGCGTGCACTAAGAAAGGATTTTCAAAAACTCGGGGTGAGTGTGGCTGAGCTGTTCGTTGATAGCTCGGTCAGTAATGTTGCCTAAAGGGGAAAAAAGGGGTTCAAAACTTCAAACAGGAAACTAATAATTCCACGCAGACGAAGTCGCGACAACTCACTAGTGTTTTATATAGCAGCTAAGTTTTATACAAGATACATAGTAGAAGTGAAACTTCCTTTCGCCGCTGCCGCCTCTCACCACGCTATATATCGTCCCCCCTCCACGCGGCTGTAAAGATTTTTCGTGACATCAATATCTTAATACCCTACCCCGTCCATACAGGGTTAATTTTAAAAAACCAACGTCTTAGGGGGTGACCAACTCTGAAATCGCGAAAAAAAATCTGATGTTTTTTTTCCGCGATTTCAGCGTTGGTCCCTTAATAAAAGTTGTTCCTGTTGATGGGTAGAATCCATATAGGCATAAGAATAGAGTAGTGGAGATAAAGACTACTACAAGTGGAAGTGCCCCTCTAATAGAAGGAGAAAGAAGATGAGAGCTTTCTCTCTCAAATCGCACATGCGCATTGGCAACCGTAAGCACCTTAATATTTCGATGTGATGCTTGGACCAACTATTGGACAGACGACTGCGCATGCGTCACAAGAGAGAGAGATAGCTAGCGGTCTCTCATCTTCTTTCTTTTTCTCCTAGACGGACACTTTTAGAGCCGCCTTCCCCACTATATTCTTATACCTCTATGGCAGAATCATCCCCTAAGAGGTTTTTGGTGTTTTAAAATTAACCCTGTATAGAAGTTTCTCTTTAAAAATCATCTCTAAGAAAACTTTTATCACGTTTGTCCAGGTGAATTTGAAAGCAGGCGAGGGTGCGCATCCCGAAGTATCCACGGTGATAAAGCCAGCAGTGGTCGGATTCACACTACGACCGTCTCTGGGGTCGGCGTTCCAACCGCTTAACCCCGCGCCCCACTCCCATTCACCCCACTCCCACTCCCCCCACGAAGCCCACTGATCCCTCCCCCCCCCCCCCCCCCCCCCCGTCGAGTCAAACTACCACACAAGTAAATAAAACACAGAGACAAAGCTTCGTACAATAGGGTATTTGACCGTATTAAAAATTAAGTACCGATGATTGGCATCTGTATTCAGAGCATTTTGACAGATCCGTAATTGTATCGTCATCGTCAATTTTTTTAATGGAAGGAGATAGTTTTTTTTACGTCCGATGGGGGCGCTGCGCTGCTTAGTTTTCAGAGTAACTTTGACGATGCGATACGTGACGGAGCTGAAAAAAATTCGTGCTTGTGCCTCAGAATGAACATTGCTAGCGAATCTTATAATTTCTTCAGAAAAAAAATATTGATATAATACTCAAAAATCACGAATTAGAAAATAGTTTTCCTTTATCTATTGTCGCGTTACTGAAAATGCTTAGTATTGCGGGCGCCTATAATGAAATCAATCACATGTAACTACCGGTTAAAGTGACATTACTTGTACCGTTTATCGTTTAAATGACAACTGTGTGACGTCACATATAGGTGACACGCCATATTACCCAGAGAAACGTTTCAACGGCATATTTGAAAGCCGAGTTTTTATTTTCCTTTTTTTTATTGAAATACGCAACCGAATGATAAATGACCACTTTTTTATAGTCCATAAACATTAGCGAATAACGCAAGATCGCTTTCAAAAAAATGTCCAATACCCTATCGTTTTAGTGAACAATGGCGCCTGTCGCGCACACAGAGAAACGTTTCTATTGGTAGGCTTCCAATCATAGAGGTATAAGAATAGAGTGGGGAAGGCGGCTTTAAAAGTGTCCGTCTAGTAGAAATAGAAAGAAGATGAGAGACCGCTAGCTATCTCTCTCTCTTGTGACGCATGGCATCCAATGGCCTCACATCGAAGTAGTAAGATGCTTACGGTTGCCAATGCGCATGCGCGATTAGAGAGAGAAAGCTAGCGGTGTCTTATCTTCTTTCTCTTTCTATTAGAGGGACAATTCAACTTGTAGTAGAGTCTATATCTCCCCCTAATCTATTAATATACCTCTATGATTCTAATGCTCACTTACACACGCGCACTGCATTAAGCTTTGCCTCTGTGCCTTCTTTAATCATGTGATCCGCCCCTCACTCAGTATTCTCCAACAGGTTTGTGTATCTAAACGGATATCTACTACTTATTATAACAAAACTAAACTTAAAAGTGCGGCCAACGAAAGAATGCGATCCTGAGAGATTCTTATGGCGATAGAAAAAGAGAGGTCCGAAAATGAACTCTAAATCTGTCGACATAAGGAATTGACACGTCTTGTCAGGATCGCATTCTTGCGTTGCACTGTAATAAAACAAACCTCCTTTTACATAACGTCGAATAAACTTAGACTTTGTTTAAACCTAATGTGGTATCTTTCTTCAATTGGCTGGTTTTTATGGCTGTGTCTCATTACTGCCAATGACTAATACTACTGCCGGGTTAAAAGAGGCAAGGTAATAGTTGAGACTGTACTGTTTATGGTTTATTAAACCCTGTCTAAAATTTATACTGTCAATTGTTTGCTAAAAAGAAGACGAATACAGCATTAGGTTTAAATCAAGACTAAATTTAGTCCACGTTTCGTAATAAAGCAGTAACGGTCGCCACACATCTGACGGAAAATAAGTCGGCGTATAAACGGTCGCGTAAAGCCGGAACTATTAAGTAGATGATAATACTATAACCACCTTATTTTGAAACGTAGACTAAAATTTGACTTATGTAAAACTTTATGCTGTCTCTTTCTTTAAAAAACAAAGGTGACTGTATCATTATTAGACAAGATTCAACGTAAGTAAACATTTTCTAAAAAGATGGTTGGGGGTCTTCACAAATTCGACGTTAGCGTCATGGACTTATAAAAAAAGGCGGACAGAGTCCCGGTTAATTTATTTATTTATTTAAGGACAACCAACAAGAATATCTACACATGTATAATATAACAAAAGTGTATAAGTGACAATTCAAGTGGTATCTTAATTATAGGCTGCCACGGCATGCATTTGTGACAATAATGACAGAGTGTGCATTCTTACAACTGTGTCGCTCAGAGTCGGCCAGGTCGCTGTACGTACAAGCCGGCACGCACACATTCACACAATAGTCAGCCACTACGCGTGCAAACGTCAAAGCAGCCGACACGTTACGTGGAGATAAAAAAATAAGCTAAACAAGATATCTTGCTTGTAAAAAGGTGTAAAATCCGTAGTGACCGAAAGAAAAAAAATCCAGGAATCACGTTTCATAGGTAAATGAATAATTCAATTATTTTTTTCTAGTTTTTAGAAATCGAAATCAATTTTAATTCTAAGGACAAAATGATTAGTCTTAAGCCCAGTGTTGCCAATGTTCATGTAACCATATTACCTAAAATTTGGGAAATTGGGTTGACATAAAAAAGAATAATAAATAATAGATTGAAGTTTATCAGATTTCCTAAAGAAAATGTAGTATGGAGAAATTACTGGAAAATGAATGATTTCCAAACAAATATGTAGTAGTGTCATTTTTAGTCTTCATTTTGAAGCTCAAGACTTATATACAACTAAAGGAGGACTCCGGCGTGTTATTACGTATGCATTACCTCAAAAGGTTGATTAAAATTTTTAACCGACTTCGAAAAGAAAGAGGTTCGCAATGCGTCATATTTGCTTTTTTTTATTGTTGTTCGCGCAGATCTCCGAGATTCGTGGACAGTTTATGATGATTCTTTTTTTTGTTTTAATCAGTTTACAAGCGAGATGGCTGCATATTAGTTTACTGGAGATCTGATGAGTACTTTCGGAGGAAAACAATGGAACTCCTCAATTACAAACAGTACTCAATGGGTGTTGTTAGTTTATTTTAAGAAATATGAAAGAGAATGCAGGCCAGGCCTGTATGTATGTATATATAGTTGATTTACCCAATATTGAGAAAATTCGATACATTCTAGAATTTCTAATGAGTCCCGACTGTTAAAGTAACTTTGTTCCTTATTAAACAGAATTCTGGACTACTGGACTTGTTTTTTTCTTTTGACGTGACAACGTCTTAAATTAGGTTGCGGCTGGGAGTCACTTATGAAAAAGTGTAACGCTCGGTAACGTTACGATGAGTCTCTCGTGTTGTTTAAGTTTACATGTACAATGTTTTAGTAAACAAAATATATTTCTATAGTTAAAATTTGTGCAATTCTTATTTTCATTCAATTCCTTGTTCCTATTGTGCAATTTAATTATATTCATATCAATAAATATTCTACCGAGAAAAAGACGTTGTCACGTAAAATCTTCGCCCGTAAAACCGACTTTACAGGCAACCATTTTTTTAGTACATTTTTTTTTTGACATTTTAATGTCATTATTTTTTAATTACACGAGTTGTATATTTTCTAAATATTCTTTTAAAACCCTTCACTTTGATACCTCGCTTGACGTGTTATAAAAATACTTATACTTTTTTTTCAAAATGTTTCATTTTGGCGCATAAAATCTGTTATTTTGATTTTTTGAAATTTTAATATACCGAGTGCCACTCACACAATCACGACAAATCAAATGACACCTCGCATGTCAAAATCCGTCAAGACGTTCAGGCTGTAGGGCGTGCCAAATTATTGGACATACATGCATACATACGCTCGAAAAACATTATCCTGCGCAGTCGGGCAAAAAGTAAAATTTTGAACAATCAAAATATTTTCATGTTTTTACTGTGTTTTATTGGTAAAAAATTGGCTAACCTAGCAACCCTACAATTCACTCACTCATCAATAGCCGCCGCCATTACGGTGCCTCAGTATTGTCTTAGCCGAAACTCTGTCCGCCTTTTTTTATACGTCCATGGTCAGCGTATTATCGGTCACGTTACGCCAGGTCGGTTAAGTAGATTATAAAACATTCAACTTTATTTACTCAACTGATGATACGTTAGTGCGTCTACATGGACTGAGCTATGCCTGCATGAAATAGATCACTTTAAAAATACAGAAAACTATATCAACAACAAGTAGTTCGCGATTGAATTTACCAGCTGCTTGCTAAGTATTTCTTAGTCCATTCTCTCTATGTCTGCGTACTAATGGGTATAATATGCCCGACGTATCTTCCGTCAGATGTGGGAGGACGAACTCTTAACTCTCATAAGTATCTTATAGAAGAATTGTTAGCCAAAGTGTCGCGATAAAACAACAATCGAAAACATATACACCCGGCAAATTTATTTAGCAACGACCAAGAAAGAAGCCTACAAAGTAGCAATTTTATATACAAAAACGTCTACTGCGCAAGTTTATTTGGTGGTTTTGCTCAAAAATTAGGCCGCTACTTATAATTTTCATACGTTCGAAGTGAGCGATACCGATGTACGCTCTCTGTGTGGCGTCTGAGTTGGAATTGCTTATTAACGAAGATGACCAGATTTGAGTACAGATTAGGAAATTTTACAATGCAATCAATAACACATGGATTTGCAATCCTGTAATTAAAACACTATGTAGGTTACGATTTTCCAAATAAGTTTCAATAGAATACTTGCACAGGTATGAATTAACTCATCTGTCAAATTAATTCCAATTGCATTTAATACACAATTAATTAAATAAACATACCATAGGTACGTTAAAATTATCATGTCGCGATATATATTTAAATATAATTATGTAAAAAAATCTTGCTTAACATTTAGAAATAGTTAAACACGATCGTTTTGAAGTTAAATTAAGCAGTTTCACTGTTATTTATCACTATACCAAGTAATGTCACAAACACATTCCGGAATCACACTGTGGGACAAATTTATTCGTTAAATGTATTTCTTCTAGTATAATTAAAACCAATATAAGAAAATAATTAATAACTTTCGTGTAACTTTAATCAAATCTGGTCATTCTTCACACTCTGACAATAAATAAATATTTTTTGTAATCAAAATATCTTTGATACTGGGTAATCCGGATGTATGTCAATTGCAAATACAAGTGAGTGAAAATATAAAAATATCCCTTTGTATAGGACAAGGTACACAAGAAAGTTTATTTAGGATCAATGCTAATTAACCTTATAGAGAAAAAAACCAAAGCAATTCAAACATACTTGAAATTGTAACCAAACCATTTGATAAAGTATTCCGAAGAGGTATGGATATCTAAGCTATTTTTTAAATACAATAAGTTACATAGTTGTATCATTTGTACCCCATCATTATAATATGTCTGGAATATATGTGATCTCATTTTATGTATTAATGCAAATTATGTACATAACATTAATATAGACAGCATTCATAAATCTTTGAATAGTATAACAATTATAGTTATTCAATATTATTTTTGTTCGATAAATACCTTAGACCAAATATCTCAAAAGGGAGAGGAAAATCACAAATTATTGTGATCAATCTTAAAATGAATGTCTAAACACATTTAAAATGTGATAGAGCTTTAAATTTGATAAAAGTGAATATAAGAAAATAGACTGAAATTTTAAAACTTTACGCATACTTTCATACAGGCAACATGACAATTTGTGTGGTAACTAGAATCTAATAAGTGCCTGTTCTAATATGTATTCCTTTTATCAGGCCACTGGTGTTGATTCTGGCACGATTCTCTAAACCTAAACTTAAATTTGACAACAGTGTAGCCTTGTCATTCTCTATACGGAATGAAAAGGACAGAAAGATTATAAATTTAGTTTTAAGTTTAGAGAATCACGCCAGAATTGACACCACTGACGATTCTATTTTATTTTGTCCCATGTTAAGAGGAGGAATTATTTTTGTGTTTTAAACTTTGATTTCAATATTAAACGTGTCGGAGGTCACAGTACCTATCAGGTGTTATGAGTACTGCATAGTACTGTCTTTGTAACATTACGGTTAGTAAATATGGACCATGCCAGTCAGATCTCTCATCTTGGCCAAATGCATTTTTTAACATCGAGACTGATAATGTATATTTATAGAATCTTGACTACGTACATAGAACTGCTTTTGAATGTATTCAATTATTTTTGAACATTTTGTAATAAGTAACTTTGGCAAATATGTATATATTTTGGACGGCTCACCTTTGGATTATAGAGTATAATAAATCTTATCATTGCTCAAAACAAAATTATATTATCATGAGCCACACTTATGATGCATGCCGAATTGGAATAAAACTTTGTTATTGACATTTCCAGTTGCGCTTATGTATATTAATGTCTATTGATTATTCAGTAAATGAATGTGATATGTAAGTGAAAACGTTTGAATTTGAATGTGACTTGACAACTTGTGATACTGATGATAAAATGCTGAGGTCTTGCAGGAGGGGCACTCTTTTCAGACACCTGGCATATAATAAACAGTATCATTGAGTTGTGAAGTGTTGAACCGAAGGTGCTGACTAGCCTATTAGGTCTGTATAGTAATTGACTTGTAACAAATGATCAGGGTGTTCTTGCTACTTTTGAACATTTTAGTGGCAAAGTGAAAATAAACAAAATTACAAGTATATGGCAAACAATGCTATAAGCCCAGTAACTGCAATTTCTTATTTTGATAATATGTAAATTAAACAATTCCTTCAACTACCACCTCAACTTATATTCTTGCAGTACATTATAATTATGTATTTAATATTAATTATATTGTGCAGAATGTCAATGTTGGAAGTAAACCGAGCCAGTATTTAAAATCCGAATGTCTGTAAGTATCTGGAATAAGTGCAATATCTAGGTGTAATGTTAAAATGTACTAGCGGCAATACTGATTATTTTCCCAGTTGTGTTGTTAAAAAAATGTGTACTTATAGACTTCGCATTTTCAGTTGCGTCGTTGACTTACCACTGTATGGAGTTTTGCTTTGTGGTTTTACTTGGCTTGCTTCCTGTCTCGGCTTCCATGTGGCTTTTAGAACCCTTTCCACTTAAAATACAACCAACTTCTTGCTTTACCTACAATATCCAATACTTTAGACTTATGTCACAGGTCCAGGTTGTAATGTAGGGTTTATGTAAGCTTCTCCCAATAAATTGTTACCTAATAAGAAAATAGTAACTTTTAGTGAATCAACCTGAAAATTATTAGCTATTAATGAACATGTGCTATAAAATGGTCCCTGTTAATTTAAAGATAACTACAGAATGTGGTGTGATTCCTAAATAAAGATACCCAGTACCAATTCTGTCACTTCCATCTTTGTAGAGGAATCATAAACGTTTTTTTAAGTACATAAAGATATTTTTATATGTTCAGGCTAGGAAATATGCGATGTGTACCATAAAAGTAATTTGGTTAGGACTTTAGATTTGATAGTTCTTTTATAGACAGTTAATATTATTTTAAAGTTTGCTTTTAGAGGAAAACTAAGTTTGTAATTTTTATTACTATGATATTAGATTAAATACTAACATTAAACTAAACCAAAAGTGCCCATTGAGATAAGTTTATTATTTAAACAAGTCTTTTGTTCAGCATCTTGTTAATGTGTAATGTTTAGGCAACAAAATTAGAAAATAAGGAAATTATCGTGGATTGTTGAGTTTAGTTATCTAAAATTGTTGAGCTTTATTGATAAAAAAATTCATTTAGTTTTTTTAACATGTCATGTTCAACAAAAGGCTTGTTTAGTTAGAGGCATTAATTAACATCAATATAAAATAGTATCTACTTTTAAGTAATAGTAAGAATGGTTTTATTATTTTGTTTCAGAGAAGAAATTCTAATTGCTATTTTTGTTTCCAATATTTTATCACTTATCTGTTTTCACTGTAATGTATCTTGCTGTATTGCAGACATATCCAATATACAGACTGATTTAATGCATGTTTTATTTTTGATGTCTTGTTAAAAAAACTAAAACACTATTTTGCTAGCAAAGAAATAATACTCAATATGAAAGCGTAGGTATTACAGGAGCTCAAAGGCACAGCTCAGGTGGTTGGTGTGTTAGGTCTGCAATTGTCAAAGTTGAGCAACTTTCCTATAGGCCAGGGGGCCAATCGCCTAACTCGATTGCTTTGGAAAACGCTATCGCTTACGATTTCATTTTGTTATTTCTAACCGCCGAAATACCTCACGCTCATTTTCTTTAACATTGTTATTACCAATGCAAAAGAAAAAAAAAGAGCGCGAGGCATTTGAAAACCTCAGGGGGCTAGAAATAACAAAATGAAATCGTAAGCGATAGCGTTTTCCAAAGCAATCCAGTTAGGCGATTGGCCCCCTGTTATTGAAAGGGTCACCAAAAATTTATTTTCATGAGCTCCTCCCTTAATGCACGTTAAGCTGTTGGTCCCAGTTTCATTACAGTCGTTAGCACCTGTCATACTACAATGAGTGCATGTGGTGGGTCATGGCCCATTCTCCCTATATCAACCATAAGGAGGGCCAGTGCCCCAGTAGTACGGACATCAATAGGCTGATGATGATAATAATTAATTAAACCTACTAGTCAGATGATAAATTTTCGAAATAATAACATTCCAAGAATATTTTTTTATTCAGCTCAGTCTCAAATTATATACAGTTCATTAAAATATTTCTTATGAAAATTAATACTGCAAACTCCGTTTTGTTTGTATGTCATCAAGTAATATTCTGAGTTCTTCATCTTCAAATCTCCCTTCTAATGATGGTATCAGAGCTTTAGCTTCTTCAGGAGTTTCTGGGCATAAATTTGCTAAACTAGCAACTTCAAATTTATGGAGCTTTTTAGACTGCAATAAACTGTAAAAATGAAAACATTCATAAATACAGTAGGAACACTAATAACAAGCGCAAATTAAATTGAATCATGATATAAATATCAAATTTCTTACTTTCTGACAGCAGCTATTGTCTCTTTATTTTTAAACTTTTTAAACATATTTGTGTAAGTTAGTGTCTTCATAAATACTTCAGAGAATTCTTGCTCTTCCTCCGCTGATTCATTTTGTGCTTTTCTATGTTCCAATAACATGTCCACTTCCGATATTAGTAGTGTTTCAGCATTTTCAAATTCTGTAAAACATATATTTAAAATACATTTAGTGTAAGTTTTTTTTTTGATGGTGTCTGCTTCATGGCAATCTGTTTTTCAACAATAAGCCACTTCTTCTTCTTTGTGTGATTTCTCAGTTTGTTTTCCTCAAGAGCCATACTTGTGTGAGAATACTTTTCACACAATGCTCTTGATGTCAAGTGGTAAATCTTTTCTGTAGGCTCGTTATTTTACTTCTTTTTAGCAGGGTATGCTGAAGTGGGTCTTCTCCACTCAGAGCATTCAGTCAGTGTAAGACTTCAATAATTTTAATATGCCCCCAAAGCTGGTAGAGCAAATAAGACAATATAGGCAGTATTGGACAAATTTTGTTCAGTATAATTCATAATCAAAGCTAAGGTTGAGACCATCTATGCCCCCTAAAATATATTAAATACATTTTTTTTTTAATTTTAAGCGATACACATTTGTGTCACATAAACTCAGTGAAATCATAAAATTTATTTGATAAAAAAGTTTCTGGATTAAACAGAATGCTACTTTGTACTCCCATAAGTCCTTGGATGTTTAAAAAAGGGCAAATTCAGGAATAACCCGAGGGATGACAGCATTATGAGGAAAATTCCAGCACTACACTATCAGGTGCCGAATAAGTGCATGCTATACGGTCTATAACGACTTATTCATCTCCCTAGTAAAACTAAAATTCGCCAACACTCAGTAGATACTTCTTTAGAGAACACAAAGTAAGGTTAAAACTGTGGTTAAAAACAAGCGGGAGCAGAGAAAGCGCCAAAATGTAAGTGTAGTTATCACTTGCTTTTACGTTGCGATATTCAGTTACGCGCAAATTGATCAGGAAAAATCATTTACACCTTTTGGGAATTGTAGATCTGCTGCGTCTTCTTCGACAACATCTTGAATTGGACCAGCCATGTTGGCCTGTGTTATTTTCTTAATATGAATAACAATATGAAGGTAATATTTACTATATTTATTTTTCAATGTATCAGGTTAAAATAAAAATTTCGCTTTGCAGCAACAAATTGAATGCCGATTCGAAACGCAGATTTTGAGATTTCTTGTTGTTATTAGGGACACGAAAAAAGTATCGATACTTTGTGGTATCGAGTACTTTTCCTTTCGATACCGATACTTTGTATTCGATACTTTTACAAAAGAGTACTTTTTTGCAAGTATCGATACTTAAATACTACCTCCGTGGCCGAGTGGTTTGTACGCCGGGTTTCATGGCGTCGCCGACTCGAGAGGTCCCGGGTTCGAATCCCAGTGGGGGCAGATGTTTGTGTGATGAACACGAGCATTTGTACTCTAGTCATGGATGTTTAATATGTATTTCTATATAAATATACTAATATATGTAAAGTATATGTATTCTATCCGTTACCCTAGTATCCCATAACACAAGCCTTTATAGTGCTTACTTTGGGGCTAGGCTAATTGGTGTGAGTGTTGGAAATATTTATATTTATTTACCTTTAAAAATTTGGATAAGCGCCTCATATTGATGGCAACGCCATCTTAATAAATCATAGCAAACCTTCTAAAACGTTCTATAGGGTATTTGACAAGTTTTAGGCAACGATCTTACGTTTATGGAGTCCGTAAAAATTGGATATTCATCATTCTGTCGTGTATTTCAGTAAAAATAACCAAATCAAAAACTCCATTTTCAAGTTGCCGGGAAAACGTTTCTCTGGACAATATGGCGTCCCACTAGTGTGTGACGTCACACGACTGTTATATAAACGTCAAACGATACAATGTAATGTCACTTTAACCGGAAGTTTACTTGCGTGTGACGTCATGTCACGTGACAATAGATAAGAAAACTAATATCTATTTCGTTAGTTTTTAGTAAAAATATGAACATTTTTTTTGTAAAAATAGTAAAAACCGTTGCCAATATTCAACCTAAACACAGATGCTAACAATTGGCACTTTATTTTTAATACTGTCAAATACCCTATTGCGTTGTTATAAAGTCAGTAACTGACATATTCAAATTCTTTCCAATCTGTGACTGTGTTTATTTTGCGCTTTGTTTTGTTTCATAGTTATTTATTTAGCGACCATATTATTAGGAACTGTGATTGATTCGCCGTTTATTGTGCTATTCGCTTGACTGTATTTGATTTATTCAAGTGTAACACTATTATTCTGTCTGTGCTGTGTATACCTATTTGAAACCACGGACCTGAAAAAAAGACGGACGTAACCTCTTCTATAATTATAATCTTGAGTGAAGCATGCCAATGGCAGCCGTTAACTACATGTCAGATTCAAGTTAACATAAGTGGGTATAATGTTTTTTAATGATTAAGATTCAAGAAAAGTAAGTTTATTTTGAAACAAATCTGAAAAATTTCATACTTTTAAATTGTTTAAGATTTCGATCTTTTTAATAAACATTTTAATTGTGAATGTAATATTATATTAATGAACACTTTTTTAGTGTCAGAAATCACAGCTGTTTTCTTTTCATTATATAATATAGCAATTTGTGAATTTATATGTACTTTTTTGTTTTTGATTATACGTACTATAATAAAATTCGATTGTTTTTCTTTCAATTTTAATGAAATGTACTCGATACTTTGAAGTATAGATACTTTTGTTTCGATACTTTTTCACCGATACTACTCATGAGTACAGTATCGATACTTTCTATTCGATATCGTGTCCCTAGTTGTTATGTGTTTTTTTTCTACTTCTATTCTTTCCTATTGGAAAGGCAAAGGAAAAGCCATGCAGCCATCGTTTTATGTGTGTATTAATCATCCTTTTTTCTACATTATAGAATGTGGGTATGACGCAATCTAAGTTTCTTGGAGTGTTTGGCACAAAATGCATCGAGTGCGCTTTCTCGGCAAGCTGCTGTGGGGTAGTCAACACTATAATAAAATTCTCACGTCCACTTGACCGTAATAGCGTATATTTTAAAGATTCCACCAATTCTTCATTAGCGCAGACGGTTGTAACATACCGTTACAACCGTAACGGTATGTTACAACCGTACTATTGGGGGATGTTTTCGCAGTTGTAAACATGGAGGAGTTTTCTAATGAAGATCTAGCGTGCTTGTTAATGGTGATAGTCAGTGGCGGCGCTAGGCGTCGGCGACGTCGGCCACCGCCGACGGCCTCGCGCCTGAGGGGGCCTCGCAAAATTTTTTTACAAGTTACCTATTTTTTTTTCGTGTCTGTTGGGCTGGCTTAGGTAGCCGACCCCGAACAATTCGGGGAAAAAGCTAAGCAGATGATAATGACTTTTATTATTTTCGAACACGTGCGTGATATAAGCGAGTAGTACTTTACAGGTATTCAGAATCGTCTGTCTGGCAACACTATTTTTGTAATAAAATTTCTTTGTTTGTAATTATTTTTTGTCATCATTTGATTATCAACAATAAAATCGTTTACTCATACGTTATTTTATAATTTGGCTTACTTAATTTAACTGTTTTTACTGCAAAGTAAAATACTCGTAGGCCTCACGAACTTGTTGTCGCCGACGTCCACATGTGGTCTAGCGCCGCCACTGCTGATAGTTGTCATTATAAATTAAAACGTGAGAGAATCGGTGTTCACGAAATTAATAGATTAAGGAGTGAATGTGGGGTATAACACCATTTGTTTCCCCAATTAAAAGTCGGTAGGAAACGTTTCTTCCAATATTTTAGGATGGAAGTAGAAACGTTCTACTACATTTTAAAAAAAATTGAACCTCAGATGATGAAGAATTGGTGTAATTTGCACAAACACAAAATTCTTTCAGAAGAACGCCTTGTTATAACCATTAGGTAAGAATTTTTTACAATCTCACTAATCCGGATTTGATGGGACCAGACTGTCCGGACCGGAATAACCGGAAAGCTGGGTCTAGATTCGCGAGGGTAGTGTAATTTGAATAATTTGTATGGTTCTTAGGTTTTCACGCACATCACTCATTAAATAAAACTAGTTTTTACGGTTAATGCACGAAACTTTATTTATTTATTGACGTTTCGTAGCCTTTACAGGCTACGTCGTCAGAATCAAACTTTTATATAATTTGTCGAGCTACCTTCGAAAGACTTTTATTGAGCGTTCGGTTATATCATTGTTCGATTTTAAAGTTTTATTGTCTATGTATGAATTTATTATTTAATTTACTGAATAAAGTATTTTATTTAAAATTCTTTTTTGTAATTTTGAGTTTATTTATTTGACCCTAACTATCGTAAACTAGCACCGGTTCCAAACTTGGGAGACCTTTCTGAGAAGAACCGGCGAAACAAACTCAAGAGAGGCTTTCTATCTCCTTCTTATGTTAAGTAATGCAAACAAAAAGAACTAATAGTACCTGTTGGTCTTGCAGTGTGTGCTCGGGGTTGGGATTTTATCTCCTGTATAAAGGGTTCCCAAGCTGGTGGTATATACCAACCATCTTCCCCCTAATGGTTTGGTCCCCCTAATGCATGTTCATTAGGGGGACCAAACCATTACATTAGATTTGATAAGCCATGTGAAACCGATGTGCAGAAGCACATCGGTTTCATACATTTATTATGTCAGTGTCAGAAAACACCTCACTGACTGCAGTGAGGTGTTTTCTCGTTGCACCGACTGCTTGCCACCGATTGCGCCAGAGCGTTTGTGGAGTTATGACGCGTTACGACACCACCTGCAAATGTGTTTCTATGTCGCGTGGCTCTTGGCGCATCATCAAACGACGTAAACAACTAGCGGACGCTTACAACGTGTTTCTGAAAAAATATTGACGAGCTCATTTAGTTTGTAAGTACGTCAAAGAAATGTTTATATGATACGAAGTGTAAAAAATAAAAGGATCATTCAATTATAAATGCTGTATAACCCAGTACTTCATTTTATTTTTATTTTGGCCCTCAAAAAGTTGAAGAGAAATTGAAGATCTTCATTAGAATCACTATCCAAACCAGAAGAAAATATGATGCACATTTAAACGCTGCAATGGTTTCATATCTATTGTTGAGAAATAACGCCGAACACGGAACGTGTGTATTCGTTCCGCTTTTAACCAATGCGCTCCAGCCCCCCACCCAGCATCAGCACCGCGAAATTATATATAGCTCGTTTTTATCACGCTCAATTGTCAAATTACTATGGAGTTTGACAGGTAGGCGCGATAAAAAATCTGATATAATGTAAATCGGGTGCTCATGCTACTGGGACTGGTATTATTCAAAATACTATAATAAACTTTATTTTTCTCACTCAAGGGTACTATGCAGTCTTTGATAGGTTTTGTTTTAAGAAATTAGAAATCCGCAATTTTGTACTGTAACCTACTACGGTTGTTTATTTTCTCATCTGGCAGTGTTGCCAAATGTGATGTGATGTATCCTAATGTGATGTCAATATGATGTTGATGCCAAGTTGACATTGTTTTTAAATGGTATTAATTAAACATTCCTATGTCACATCAAGATCATATCCTGTATCACATTTTTGACGTTTATGCGATACTATTTTAAGTCAAAAAGTTGAACGTAATACGCATTTAAGTTGATATCATTTTAAAGAGTTGATCATTATACGCATAAGTTGATGTCATTTTGATATCGCATTTTTCGGAGAGCATAATACGTAATGTGAAATTGAGATCTAAACAATATCACAATTAGCGAGCATAATTGGCCTGCAGAACGTGGGTGGGAATTTTACTAAACCAAAGTAGTACGCACCACTCGTATTCTACCCAGTTTCTTTTATCCATATAAAACTAATGCTCGCTGTTTTTAATGTCAAAATCGATTAACCCTAGAGAAAACAAAGATACGCACAGAAATACAGACAGGTTGGTTAAAAGCAGCAAGAGACTCAAGCTAAGCGTTTTGTACTTATTGTATATTGTTCTACGGAAATTCTTCTTAAACTATTTGACATAAAGAAACATACTAGGACAAAAAACTTAGACAGAAAGTAGAGTTCCAAACAGGTACGTGAATTTAAAACTCATTTTGTTGAAAGTAGACTTTTTCGACGGAAAAAAATAGTATGATAATTTTAGTTAACAAGTTTTTCTTTTAAAATAAAGGTCTCAAACTCATTTTTATGCGGCTACGGTCAGTGTTGATATCCCTTCTTGTAATGAAGATTTAGCTACTTCTAGCAACTTTTTGGGGTAATAAAAACTGACAATCTAGTAACATTTTGTAAGATGTCTTGCAACTGGGCAATGCTAGTAGTTGGCAACACTGGCTTAGTTTTCCCCTCTGAATAAGGAAACCTATGGAACTGCCATACCTACTTAAAAAACGTGCATACTTATGCAGCTAAACATGGTGGCTTAGTGTTGTATACTACCACGATACTATTTAACACTTATCGATTGCGCCATATCTATCGATAAAACTTAATATATTATATTTATACGTTATACTTTATTTTTTGTATTTACTTGACTGGCAGTCTGAAAACAAAAATAAATCAAAAAATTAACAAATTAGATCTTTTTCTTTATTGTATTAAATGTCAATTTGATATCGGAAGCATGGATTTTTTTATACGCAACCCCCCTATGTGCACACTCTACTCAAGAGAAACAAGAATCACTTAATTATTGCTTCTCTTGAGGAGTGTGAATTGAATGTAAATTAATCAAAAGGAAAAAGTGTTTCGTGTAAGAAAATATCGATAAATCGTTCGATATAACAAAACCATCACTACAGTCAAAACAAAATACAATATAAACCAAACCGAAATATATTTTTTAGGAAAAATACATACTCAATTACTCTATAAACTATACTTTAAATGATTTTAAGTGTCCTTGACTTGATTGCACGGCTCAAAACACTAATAAATTTTAAATAAATGCTTACCGGTGAAATGTTAAATTTGGCCGATTTCTGCTTATTGTTGCACCACAATTTATTATGCTGGACTTATTAGGCATTGTACACTATTGTTTTATACAATATTTCACCACAGTCTTCAAAATGGTACTTAATTCCATTATATGTAATTGAATTTCGGGGTAATTTGTAGGGGGGGGGGGGAGTGGGGGCTCCCCCCGACCCCCCGCCATAAATGATTTTTGGCGGAAATGCAGTTTTTTTTTTTACTTAACCTAAAAATTCATAAAATCTGTTATATGTAGTGGAATTTCAGGGGGATAGGTATTAGGGAAGACCCCTCAGAGGGAAGGGTTACCCCCCCCCCTCCCGGCGTTTTTTTACAGAAATGATAATTATAAAAAATTAGAGGAGTTTTATAGGTAAATCTGTACTTCCAGCGCCTAGAGTCTAAGTCTATTAACAAATTTTTCTTTCTGGCGCTTCACCGGCCGCTGCCGCGGCACGCTCGCTTCGCTCGCTCGGCTCGCGCGTTAACGTCACAACACTAACCTAACCTAACCTAGTGTGAAGTATCACCACTTGGGCCTTAGATATACAGTTTAGCCGTTTAAATAAAACAAGTTTAAACACAAACACTGACTGACAGATCTCATTAATGGCGGTAAATTGTCACATTTTGACAATAGTACCAACATAATAAACTTATATTTACCATAGACAACGAGAAACATGTTATTTTTGCATAAAAAAATGGCAGCACTGATCATGAAAATTGCGAAAAAAAAAGTGGAGTTTTTGGCGGGATTTCATCGAGTATTGTTGGCGTCTTATTTTAATTATTCTTCAATTCGTTCATAGTGGATATTGTGAAATAAAATTGGTGTGATTTTGTGTTACAACTGTCTGCGTAACTGAAGAATTAGTGGAATCGTTAAAAAATACGCTATTCCGGTCAAGTGGACGTGAAAATTTTATTGTAGTGTTGACTACCTCACAGAAGCTTATCGAAAAAGCCAACTCGATACATTTTGTGCCAAACACTCCAAGAAACATTAGAATGCGTCACACTGACATTCTAGTGTAAAAACAAAAAGAAGAGTAATTTTATTAAAGACCAGTCTGTATGGGCATTGTTCCCTTTGCCTCCCCGGGAAAACGGGAGAACTTCAACAAAAAAAAAAAAAGAATAAAAAAAAATGGTCAGAATCCTTTGCCCGTTCCAACAGGAACAAATTAACCAAAAAAAAAAAAAAAATGGTAGATTAATCTGTGTCTCTGTGATTGTGGTGTCATCTCTTGTTTTACGGTTGTGATAGACTTTCTCATTTTATTTAATTAAATCGAATTAATTCTACAATACACCGACCAAATTTTAATAATGTCTGATACATGTAACTTTACACCAAGAGGTAAATACTGAGTGAATACAGAATAACCTTAGACTTCTTAGAATTATATTATTGGCCCATCATCAATTCTTTTAAAAATTACTTTTTATTTTAGAACTAACAACACCCAATAAGGATTTTCCAGGAGTGTCCAAAACAGTGTTTACTCATGTGTCCAGTTTGCATGGACTATTGAATGATTGGGGAAGAATTAAGGATAAAGGAGTTAAATTATGCAGAGCTATCTACAGTTTAAAATTATATGAATGTGACGATGAATATTATCCACATCAGCTGCAACCGCTTATGGAAAGTCTTGTTGAAGCTTTAGATGGTTTAAAAAATGTTGTCAATGGTAAGGAATGAGTTACAAAATACTTTGATTGATAATCAGTAAGTACTTAGATACTCTTGAGATGTTGTTAGGCTGAGATTTGATGAATCTGTGTTATGTAGTAGTTTATGCACAGTTAAACTACATTTCTGGTTTCCTTAGTTATTTTAGATTATCCAGCCTGCCATATTCTCAAGTGAATATTTTGAAAATATATGTAAAGACATTATAATATCCCCACATGTACATAGAAAAATGATTGTGGAGTTTAACAGTAATTTTCATTATTTTTGTCATCAAGGTTTTGTTAGTGCATATTGGAAATCTTACTGTTTACATATATTTTCAAAATAGTGTAAACTCCATGTAATGTCACTTGATTTAACGACAAAGTCCCTAAATCGTCAAAATCGTCTTTGGTTGGTTTACTTTGTTTTCCATGCAATGATACACTCCATATAGCATTACATGCACTCTCAATAACGACAACAATTAAGTTATAAAAAGTACCTTTTAAGTTGCCAATATTAGTGAAAATCGCGCAGCTGTGTATGTTCTTTTGTTGCTTTATTATCCTAGCCCGTAATAAACTCGACTGCCTGCATCATTCAACTAAACTTTCTAAGAAATTCTTTCTTTTGTTTATAAATTGGGATTGCACGTGTAGACTGTTGTTGATCATGACAAAAAAATATAATTAAACAAAATTACTGGTGCAGTAAAAGACGTTAAAGAAAAGACACCATGAGACCCGGAGTACAAACCACTCTGCCACTGAGGTGGTCAATTCGAAAATCTATAAACCTATGAATATCTGGTATGAATCTATAAATTTGACTACAGTGTATCCTTGCCATTCTTTCTACAGAATGAAAAGGAAAAATTGATGTTGAATTTCAATTTAAGTTTAGAGACTGACAGAAAACAGAGCCATTGCATAAGGTAATTTATATATTTTTTTAGATTTACAGTGTAGTCCATTTAGTATGACTTTGCATTTAACAACCAACCATGTTTAGCGACTTAGTTTAGGCACCAAAGTGGCATATAAACAATTTTTCTTTTCATTTTTGATATGTTCATACCTGCATTAATTACGTGATTATTTAAAAAAATGAATGTTTAATATACTGAATAATGCCGCTCCCTTGGCCGTCATTATAACCGGATTCTCCTGTAAATTTATCCCGATGACTTACAGCAATAATCAGTTTGGTTAATTCAGTTTCCACTGTAGTGACAACTTTAATGTATTTTTCAGGAGTAAAAATCATAGATAGTCAACTAAAGGCCCTAGCCGAACTGCAAACAACTAATGATCCTGTTATACATACTTGGACAGCCAAAGAAATTTCTGAAACAGTAGATAAAATATCAGCATCTCTTCAAAAAGAATTTGAACTAAAGCAAGTCATAACTGGTAAGCTTTTCAAATTTTATAAATTTCATTGTAATAATTCTGAAGTATTTATTGTTAGGTAAGTAACAATATAATTTTTATTTTCAGAAAACCTTGCTCACTGCAGAGATGAGAAAATAATAGATGTATATATCAGTTCATGGGAATTGGAACCTTATTTTGAACCAAATGCTTACATATTTGCTGAGGTGGGTCTTTCTGGTGTTACATGAAAAAGGAAAGTTTTCTTTTGTGAAATTCAAAAATAATTTAATTACATAAAATATTATTTTTAAGAATCTGAAATAGGTTTAGTAACTTTATTTGTTGTATAGTGAGCTTAATAAATTTATAAAGTATTTCAATGCATTTTCTTTGCCTTCTTCAAAGTTCTGTATTTAAAACATTGATGCTTATAATTAAAGACTAAGTAGTTGAATTATCTTTATCTCACACTGCTGCTTTTACCTGATTGGTGAAGATGCAAAGCGGAAAGCAGTGACGTTCTGATAGGACAATATATGTGATGTTGGCCAGTGTTTCATTGGTGGTGTTTGCACTATCACTACTTATGTGAACTGTCCAAAAATATCAAGTAAATAACTCAAATAAAACTGGGCAATTCTCCGGTTATGTCATACTGCAGTGCAAGTGTCGTCAGCAAGATAAATAACAAAAATAGAATGAACTAAAGTGATCAGTGCCGGCCGATAAACAAACCCAAATAAACAAGAAGGAGTGCAACGTAATTCCCACCTTATCAAATCTTCGAACCAGCGCTTACAATGTTCATTTAATCTTAATTAATATTATACACGCGACAGTGAGTTAGTAGTTATGATTTCACCCCTAAACTATGAATCAGTATTCAATAATGATAAATTTTAGTATAGAGATAGATATAATCCCGGAGATGGTCATAGACTACTATTTGTCGTAAAAATAAAACAAGAAGGTCTTTAAATGGGATATGAAATTTTGCATGAAAAACTAATTATTCCACATCTTTCTAAGTAAGGAGTTCTTATAATATATTGCCTCGTAAATAGATATAACGACGCCTTATAGGAGTATCATCACGTGGACTGCCAGCTTGTTTCCCTGCATGAACAAACTCAACCTTGGACGATGGGGGAGCTATTCCTCTATGCCAGAAATCTGCATCACCCAGCAGATGGTTTGGCGAGATGTTGCAGTTAAACGTTCACAAGTCGTGTGGGCCTGACGGCAACCCTGCAGTGGTACTTAAGATATATATGTACCCCCGAGCTTACCTACGCAGTAAACGCACTTGTATCGCCTTTAAAATAAGTCCTTACAATCCTCATTTGGCACCGTGTGACTTCTTTTTATTGCCTACAATAAAGAAAAGCTCAAAGGGATACAGTTTTTATCGCCGGAAGAAGCGCTAGCAGCGTTTGAGAAGGCCGTGGAAGGGGTGTCTGCGGAGGACTGGATTTTTTTTTTGAAAATTGATTTAGACGCATGAAACTTTCTATAGAGGCTGGTGGAGAGTTCTTTCAAAAGATTTTATAAAAATATTTTTTTCATAGAAGTTAATTTTTAAGTTTCTGAAAACTTTCTGAGTGTCCCACGTAAGTATATGTGTTTATAATGGGAATTGGGCAGGGATATCTACACACTTTATACGCGTGGATCGTTGTTTCGGATTTTTGATAGCTAGCGACGAAACTAAACCTACATTTTATGTTGAATTCATAATAAATATTGATTTAAAGAAAATTTTACTAGAATAATTCCACTTCGTTCAAATTCCAGAAAGGAATCGAACCCGCAGCTTCCGCTTTCCGTGTGGAAGATGTCCACACACGGAAAGAGGAAGATGACCATGTGTGTGGCACTGTAAGTAACCCACAATATCAAAGGAAATACCTTTACATAAGTATATTAAACATTTGAAAGAAGAAATTGCTATTGTAGATTATATTTTTTTATTTTAAGTTTTAACTGCTAGATTATTAAAGAAAAGTTTGATAGAACAAATTCCAATCGATCCAGGGATACTACATTCCGGGCGGGCGGATTTTTACTAGTAAAATTTTCTTTAGATTTTAACATCAAGCAGTTAAAATAAAAGTGTCCAAATTAACTCAAGTTCGTGTAAGAGGGATATTTATAACTCTTGCTCGATTGTCACGTAGTTCTCGCGATGCTATTACGATTAATGTCAATGTAAAAGTAAAGACGTTACTAAGATGACAATATACTACTGAAAGTTGTATAACAGTCGTATACAACTTTATACAGTCGTATACAACGTATACAAGTTTTTACGATGTTTTTATACGACTTCAACTAGTATAAAAATAAGAGGCTCTAAATCGTAATTACTCCAATGCGATGTTTATAGTATGTTCAGTTGCGTAATTTTTACATATACGACTGAAATGTTTGTTGGGTAGTTTTTAAGTAAATTTGCTATTTAAGAAACGGAAGTAGTATTTATTACACTTCCTCATGAAGAATATTAAAAACCTTTTTTTAATATTGTTGTTTCTCATTGGTAAACAGAGTTAATTTTTTTCTGAATTATTATAGGTGTCACACCTATTTATTATAATTTAGAAAAAAAATAACTCACGTCCACCCGCTTTGTTTGTTGTCGGTTGCCGTGGATACGACCTCGATAGCCATCTTACTCAATAGCCCTCCAGCAATAGCTGTAATATGTAAATTATTGGAAGTCACAGTTACAGGCAAGGTTACTTTTAGTCCTATTAGTCCAGTCAATGAATGGTTTCCCTAGCAATTCTACCAAACAGCACCGATTAGCACCAAAATATGGTCGTAGGTTCTACTTATCCTCTACTTCAAAGTTGTTAATGTGTCGTGGGTTGCTTTTACCCTGAAGGTGGACGTCACACCTTCTTGGAGATGAAAAATATAGTATGGGAATGGATAGACTGACTAATTCGAAACAACTTTTGTTCTATAAAGCTTTCACTAATACTCAATACTTTTCGACTTATTCGACAGTGGAAACGTAAACTTTTCAACAAAAAAAACTACGTTTTTATATGGCTTTTCATAAATAACTCTGTAAATGAATATTAAAAGAAAAAAATAATTCGGAGTAAAAAAGTAGCTTATAAAAAACAAAATTAAAAATATCGCTACATTTTAGATGAATGATTGGTCTCCCTTCGGTCGACCGCAGCAATATGTCGTGTTAGCGGTTTAGCAGCTATGTTGATATTAGGAAATTTGGGCAACGAATGAAATGAGATGATTTGGGCCTACACCCACTTGGCTAGTTTTTTCGTTAAGTCATAACCAGTCAGATTAATAGAGATCCAAAGATATACAGTGGTGGTCACATAATTAAAGACACCCCCTAATTAACCACAAAAAACTTACTAAATGGTACTAACATCTCTTATCTATTAGACAAGTCCGTCCGTCCGTCCGTGGTGCTGTTTCAGCGGCCAAACCGTAAGAGATAGATAAAGAGAATGTTTAAGTTATAAGTTGAGAATAGTCTGATAAGACTACAAACCGGATGTGAGTAACGTAGCACTTCCGGTTTTCGAGAAATCACGTGATTTCTATTTCAAACGAAACCACACAAAATCTCCGAAGTTCTCAATTAATTAAATACATTTTTTTTTTGGTGAACATATGGTTCACTGGTTTGTTAGCTAACTAGTAGCTAAAATTGGTATTTCATCCAGTTTAATTGTTATTAAACCATACACGACGTTGTATTCTTACAATGTGTTGACAAAAAACAGTTGTGTTCGTTAGTAGTTTAGACACTGCTCACTATGGGAACGTAACAGAAACTTTTTTAACGTATTTATAGCTGGCCATCTAATTAAAGACACTCGATTTGCTTAGAAGAAATAAAAATAAATGTTATTATTGAAATTATCTTTATTACACAATATTCCTAACACATTTATAAAACTTTCCGGTATGTATAAATATTTGGTCGCAGAAATGACAGCACGACATCTCTTGGGCATGGAAGCGATCAATTTTTTACAAGCTTCCACCGGAACTTGCTTCCAAGCTTCTCTAAAAGCTGTGTAAAGTTGATCGATGTTTGATGTTCGTTTTGTCGCCACAGTCTTCTTCACCTGGTACCACAAATTTTCTATTGGGTTTAAATCAGGACTGTAGGGGGGCCAATCCAAAACTGTCACAGACTGGTTCCTTAAAAAAGTCCTTTATTACTTTTGCAATGTGTTTCGGATATTTATCCCTTTGGAAAGACCAAATGACCGGTAAATTTTGCTCGGCATAGGGCAGCATGGCTTGTTCTAAAATATTCTTGTACTGAAATTTATCCATGTTGCCTTCTATTTTCCTGACAGTTCCAACACAAAGTCCTGAGAAACAGTCCCAAACATTGATATTTCCGCCCCCATGTTTAACTACTTTCTTGGTATACTTTGGATCCATTTCTTTGTTCGGGGGGCGTCTAGCATATAGTTTTCCGTCAGAATTAATCATATTAATTATTGTTTCATCAGGGAAAAGCACATGTTTCCATTCTCGTTCAGTCCAGTGTACATATTTTTTTAGCAAATGCTAATCTTGCCTTAACATTTTGCTTTTTCAAAAGTCGCACCTTCCGAGACGTTCTTCCGTACAAGTTTGTACATAGTCTCCGTCTAATTGTTCTTGCAGACACACCTTCGACCCTCCTGCACCAAACAACTCCGAACGTATCTGTTCTGATCCCTTGAACGGATCTTTTTTTGCCAACAACATCAGCTTTAGAGTCTTTCCGCAAAGTAGTTTTTCTTGGTACGTTTTCGGTCGTGTTGAACTTCTTGAAATGTTTTATAGCATTCATAACCATGTCCTTAGAACAGTTCAAGAGGTTTGCTATTTTTCTGTATGACCAAACTTTATTAAGAAAGTTGAAAATAATCTTCCTAGTGGACGAATCACAACTCTTGTTTTTTTTACCCGACTGCGCAATGCAAGAGCGCGAAGCGCGACGCGCAGACAGGGTATAGTGTTGAGTCGGTAGTCATTTGGGACCGGGACCACTGGTCCTGACGGGGATATGGAATTAATAAATTATTTTGAGGCGGCATTCGGGACCACTAGCTTCGGTCTCGAATGACACCTATGTTTAATGATTATTTTGAGTGGTAAGTTGGGACCATAAATATGATCTAAGTTCCTATCTTAATTTTTTATGTCGAGGAAGTACAGTCAAATAAAAAACGGCTTTTATAATATAAAATATTTCGTTTATTTGAAAAAATCACAGCCTT